CTTTTGTGATTTGTACTTTTGCTGTACTAAGAAATTTTATATATCTGAGACTGTGAAGATTTTCTCCTCTTCTTTTAGAATTTTTATAGTTTTATCTTTTACATTTAAGTCTATAATCTATTTGGAGTTAATTTTAGAGTGTGTCACAAGGTAAACGTTGAGGTTCATTTTTTTATCCATATAAATTTCCAGTACCTTTTTTTTTTTAGAAGGATATCTTTTTTTTTTAAAGATTTTATTTTTCCTTTTTCTCCCAAAGCCCCCTGCTTCATAGTTGTGTATTTTTAGTTGTGAGTCCTTCTAGTTGTGGCATGTGGGACGCCGCCTCAGTGTGGCTTGATGAGCGGTGCCATGTCCGCGCCCAGGATTCGAACTGGCGAAACCCTGGGCCACCTGCAGCAGAGCGCATGAACTTAACCACTCGGCCACGGGGCCGGCCCCTAAATTTCCAGTACCATTTGTTGAAAAAAGTATTTTCTTTTTTTTTTTTTGAGGAAGATTAGCCCCTAGCTAACATCTGCTGCCAATCCTCCTCTTTTTGCTGAGGAAGACTGGCCCTGAGCTAACATCTGTGCCCATCTTCCTTTACTTTATATGTGGGACGCCTACCACAACATAGCTTGCCAAGCTGTGCCATGTCTGCACCTGGAATCCAAACCAGCGAACCCTGGGCCACCAAAGCGGAATGTGCGCACTTAACTGCTGTGCCACTGGGCCATCCTGACTATTCTTTTCTCATTAAATTATCTTTCTGCCTTTGTTGCAAATCAATTTACAATATTTTATTGCTTGGAATTTTTCCTGAACTCTTCTTTTTTTTGGAGGAAGATTAGCCCTGAGCTAACTACTGCCAATCCTCCTCTTTTTGCTGAGGAAGACCAGCCCTGAGCTAACATCCATGTCCATTTTCCTCTACTTTATATGTGGGATGCCTGCCACAGCATGGCTTTTGCCAAGTGGTGCCATGTCCACACCCGGGACCCAAACTGGCGAATCCCGGGCCGCTGAGAAGCGGAACGTGCGAACTTAACCGCTGGGCCCCCAGGCCGGCTCCTGAACTCTTCTGTTGATCTGTATGGTTGTCCTTATGCTAATACCACACTGTCTTGATAAGCTTTATGGTAAGACTTGAACTCATGTACTGTTAAGTTCTACAACTTTCTTGGTCTGTTTTAAAATTGCATAACCTATTTTAGTTCTTTTGCATTTTAATATACATTTTAGAATCAGCTTGTTAATTTCTACAGAAAAGCCGTCTTGGATTTTGATTAGGATTATACTGAATCTGTCAGTCATTTAGGGGAAAAGTGACATCTTAATAATATTGAGTCTTCGAGCTGTAATGTGATTTATTTCTCTACTTATCTAGACCTTCTTTAAGTTTTCACAGCAGTATTTTGTATTTTCATACCTCAGGTCTTGCATATATTTGTTAAATATGACGTTGAGTATTTCATGGTTACTAGATGCTGTGTCTTGTAAATCTTTAAGCATTTAAAAAAAAATCTCCAGTTATTGATTGCTAAAACATAGAAACAGTTTATTTTTGTATATTAAGCTTAAATTTTGTGACTTTTGTAAACTCTTTACATATCGTTTTTTTATTGATTCCTTAGGATTTTCTTCATAGACGTTGTCTGCTAATAGAGACAGTTTTACTTCTTCCTTTTCAATTGGAATGCCTTTTATTTCTTTTTCCTGCCTTATTGCACTGGTCAGGACGTCTAATAAAATATTGAACAAGTGAGAATGGGCATCCTTGCTTTGTACCCAATTTTAGAGAGAAGGCACTGAGTCTTTCACCATTAAGTATGATGTTACCTGTAGGTTTTTCATAGTTACCATTTATCATGTTGAAGGAATTCCCTTCAATACCTAGTTTTGGGGGAGTTTTTATCTTGAATGATTGTTGGATTTTGTCAGATGCTTTTTTTGCATTTCTTGACAATCGTGGTGTTTCACTTTTTTTTCTGTTATTATAGTAGAATTCATTGATTGATTTTCAAATGTTAAAGCAGACTTGCATTCTTGATATAACTCCCATTTGGTTGTGATGTATTATCTTTTTTATATGTAGATGCTAAATTTGTTCAGGAATTTGGGGTCTACAATCATTAGCAATTTTGGTTTGTAGTTTTTCGGATTTAGTTTTTCCCTTTTAATGTCTTTATCTGATTTTGATATCAGGGTAATGCTTGCTTTATAAAAGGAGTTGGGAATTGTTCTTTCCTCTTTTCTGAAAGAGTCTGTGTAAAACTGGTATCATTTCTACTCTAAATGTCTGCTAGAATTCACCAGTGAAGCCATCTGGACCTGGATTTTCTTTGTGTTAGTGCTTTAAATAGTAAATTTAATTTCTTTAATAGATGTAAAGCTACTCAGTTTTTTAGTCGCTCTTGTGCTTTTTTTTCCCTTTCAGGGAATTTGTCCATTTCATCTAAGTTGTTGAATTTATGGGTATAAAGTCAATCTTTATATTCCCTTATCCTTTTAACATCTGTAGGATCTCTAGTGATATAGTCCCACTTTCAAAGAACCAGGTATTGGTTTTATTGCTTTTTATCTATTATTTGTTTTTTATTTCATTGATTTCCACTCTTTATTTCCTTACTTCTGTTTACTTTGGGTTTAATTTGTTCTTTTTCTACCTTCTTAAGATTATAGCTTAGATCATTGTGAGATGGGATTATGTAGGAAGCAAGACGAGCCATGAGTTGATAATTGTTAAAAGTGGGCGATGGGTACATGGACTGCTATTTCACTGTACTGTTTAAATTTGTGTATGTGTTTGACATTTTACATAATACTTTAAAAATTCATGAAGCAAATCTAACTCCATAGTAACTTTGTTTCAGGTTTATGTGCCTATTAACATTCATTTTTATGTGACATTTTCTATCTTATGAATTGGTAAACTACTTTTAGGATGACCCTACAATAATTCCTCAATAATTAGGACTATTTATACCTTTTAATAGTTCTTCTTGTTTGGGGGGAGGGAAAGAAAAGTGACGTGAATCTTGATGCTATAAGCTCTTGAAGATATTGGGATACCTCACAAACAATTAATAGGGTAAAGAACAAGCAGTCACTGTTTATGGAAAAGCAAATTGATACATGTTCAATAACAGTATAATATCAACAGTTGGATCCATGCCTTGGTAGTTCCCACAAAGACAAATTTTGTTAACAAAAATATCTGAAATGATAATAGTAAAATTTTAATGTTCGTTTAGTGTAGTTGATGGGTAACAAGTATTTTTATTGTATTGTGTATAAATTTCTTGTGCTCCGCACCTTTCTCCCTGAAGAAAAAAGAACTTGTTATTACATTACTTTGCAAGTACAATCATCTTAATGTATCTATGTATAGGTGTTAGAAAAAAATATATGCACAAGTGCTCTACATATTTTATTTAGTAGAATGGTGCATATCACATAGCTTCCTCATGCATTTTTTTTTTATTTTGTATTGTTTTGTCTTGCCTTGTTTTATTCTTGAGCTTTTTGTTGGTGATGCAAAGGTTATGGCACATTGGATTTGGCACTTTTTTCCCTTCAAGAGTAACATTGATTTTTAGTCAAATATAGGAGCATCCCCATTTCTACTGACTCCTTGGTGTCAGTAAGTTGACACATGCCAATGCTGCTGTGTTTCTCATTCCCACCCAACCATCCATACCTACACATCAAAATAATAGTAATGATAATGATAAATTTCATGGTGCTTTTGCTCTCAGAAGAGTTGGGAAGAGTGAATTTTGTTTTGTTTTGTTTTGCTTTAAAAATAAACTTCCATGTACAAACAGAAACATGGGTGGATCCACATTCTGTATTATTAATATTTGCTGGAGATTCATTGAAAGAAGTGTAGAGAAGGAGACTACTTAAGCAGAGAGAAGGGGTAGGACACGGATCTTATAATTTATTCTAATACGAATATATTATATCTCATTTTGAAATGAGATATCTCATTTTGAAATGAAATAATCTCATTTTGAAATGATAGTGACTACAGGGCATAACTAATGGTTGCCTTGATTAGCATTAGCTTAAAGTTCAAAATCATACCCATATGTAGTCCTACTTTTATCAAGGAATGAAGGACTGTGTTTAAAATACTTTTGCTACAACACTACAGCAAGTTGGTATCTTCTGGAGCTTCAAGCTGTATAGTGATAAACTTGCATTCTCCCTGTTCAACTTATACAGTCTTATTTGCTATGTTAAAGGAATTGTTGTATTTGCTGCAATAAAATTAACACAATGTTGTCTGGTGGAGTAAGAAACAAAATTGTATGTCAGGTAAAATAGCAACTACTAGAGTCAGATTTGCCTTCCAAATATTCACCAAGAGGCAAGACATACCTTTGCTAGGGTTTCAATCCCGTCTCTGCTACTTACTAGCTGTTTAACTCTGGTAAATTATATATTCTCTCTGTGCCACATTTTTCTCATCTATAAAACAAGAATAGTAATAGCACATACTTCATAGAGTTGTTATGAGGTTTAAATGAGTTAGTATGTTAGAAAATTGCCAGGTATTTGTAAATGTTAGCTATTATTATTAACTATTACTATTACCAGTGCTTTTTCAGACTTCGTATGTACTTCTGTCTAAGTTATAACATTACCTTATAAATGTGATTTCCATGCCTTCTGTGTTATTCTGTTAGCATAATGGCAGCCTCCATTCTTTGTGTTTCTATCACAATGTGTTATGCAGAGTGTGTATATAGTAAATACAGTTAAACGAAGACAAAAGTAAGATCTCATATGTAAAATACATATCACATATTTTGTTTTTGAATAAAATCAACTTTCACTCTAATCAGTTGCAATTCATTGCTATTTGACTTACTTGAAAGTGTGTTTTTTTAAATGTTTCAGAAATTACTTGTCAGGGGATAAACTGAATAGCTGTTATAAAAGTATGTCACTTAGGATCTCACTTCTTGTTTTCTTTCTTTTTGTTTTTGGTGTGGTGGTGGTGGAAATAGTGCCTCAGTGTGTCTGGAGAATAAATGTGGATATCCCTGAGGAAGCTAATCAGAATCTGTCATTCAGTGCTGCTGAACGATGGTGGGAGCAGACAGATTTGACCAAACTAATCATATCCAACAATAAACTTCAGTCACTTACAGATGACCTCCGACTCCTGCCTGCGCTCACTGTTCTTGATGTAAGTCCACAGATTATAAACATGAGTCTTTAGCTGAAGAAACTCTAAAGCTAACTTTAGGCTTTGATAAGCAGAAAACCCATGTTTAATTGGTAGAATGCAAGGAAGAATAACAAATTATTGTGTTAGGCATAGTATAATGGTTAAACATGAGACTTCAAATTGTGACTGCCACTTGATAGCTGTGAGACCTTGGGCACGTTACCTCTCTGTGCCTCAGTTTCCACATCTATAAACCAGGATGGATATGACTACTTATTTTGAAAGATTGTTCTAGAATTAAATGAGTGAATGCATACAAACAGAATCGGTGTTTAGCAAGTGGTTGCTGCTGCTCATCTTTTATTACTATTACTTTTATCATTTTTCTAGACATTAAAATAAGTACTTAAGATTGATTTTTAACTTGCTCCCAACACTGACTTAAATTGTTGAACTTAAATTTTTGTGCGTTTATTCAGGAACTGTGTTTTTAGTCTCTAATTGCTGCGTCATGTGGTTAAGTAAGGCATGAGTAGTTTCTTCATAACCTACGGACTCCTGATCTACTTCAGTTAGGAACATCAAAAATCTCCCAATTTATGTCTGAAAAGTTGGATCTGATCAAATTTCTAGAGCAGGTTTTGTTTTCTTCACCTGTAAAATGAATGGATTGGCTTAGGTGTTCTCTGAGGTTCCTTGTGCTTTGAAAACCGTATGATTCTGTGAGAACATAAGCAAAGTCCTGCTCCCCCCCTTCATTTGTTTTTTCTATGTGATGACGTAAATCATGCCATCAGAGGGCTGTTCTTAGTTTCTCATCCTCTCATCTCTATTTGAGATTGAAATTATACTCAATGAGGCAAAGTTGTTTCTTTTTTAATTGTTATATTTAAAATTGATGACATTGCTTCATGAACAATGAACAGCAGTTTGGTCAGTTTCAAACTCTTTTTCCTCTTCTATACACGGAAGAAATTACCAATAGCCCCAACTTGATGCCGTTGAATTAGAGGAATGGAATTATTGTTGAAGAATTTTGTATAATGGCAGAGCTGATATAGGGTTAATTCTAAGACTAAGATAGTGACTGTGTCTTTTAATAACTTTTAGATACATGATAATCAGCTGACATCCCTTCCTTCTGCAATAAGAGAGTTAGAAAATCTTCAGAAACTTAATGTCAGGTAAAATTTAATCTTTATTTCAGTATTGCTAGGATAAGGGTGTAAATCCAATATTCTTTAAGTTTTTTTCTAACATTAGAAAATATTTTTGTATTATCTTAAAAGTGGTTAAAGCCAAATAAGAATTTTAATTCTCAAATTATTATTATTTTTTTTAAGATTGGCACCTGGGCTAACATCTGTTGCCAATCTTCTTTTTTTTTTTCTTCTTCTTCTTCTTCTTCTCCCCAAAGGCCCCCAGTACATAGTTGTATATTCTAGTTCTATGTCCCTCTCGTTGTGCTGTGTGGGACGCTGCCTCAGCATGGCTTGATGAGTGGTGCCATGTCCACACCCAGGATCCGAACCGGCGAAACCCGAGGCTGCAAAGTGGAGCATGTGAACTCAGCCACGGGTCTGGCCCCCAAATTATTTTTATTTTTTGTTTTAAAATTGCCTACATGTTTTCTGGTTTTACAAATTTAAGGCCAGTTGATTTTTTTTTTTTATTGAGTTATTGATAGCTTACAATCTTGTGAAATTTCAATTGTACATTAATGTTTGTCAGTCATGTTGTAGGTGCACCACTTCACCCTTTGTGCCCACCCCCCACCCCACCTTTCTCCTGGTATCCACTAAACTGTTCTTGGTCCATAGTTTTAAATTCCTCATACGAGTGGAGTCATACACAGATTATCTTTCTCTCGCTGGCTTATTTCACTTAACATAATTCTCTCAAGGTCCATCCATGTTATTGCAAATGGAATGATTTTGTTCTGTTTTGCAGCTGAGTAGTATTCCATTGTATACATGTACCACATCTTCTTTATCCATTCATCTGTTGATGGACACTTAGGTTGCTTCCACGTCTTGGCTATTGTAAACAGTGCTGCAGTAAACATTGGGGTGCACAGGACTTTTGGGATTGCTGACTTCAGGCTCTTTGGATAAATACCCAGTAGTGGGATGGCTGGATCGTATGGTAGTTCTATTTTTAGTTTTTTGAGGAATCTCCATACTGTTTTCCATAGTGGCTGCACCAGTTTGCATTCCCACCAGCAGTGTATGAGGGTTCCTTTTTCTCCGCAACCTCTCCAACATTTGTTGCTATTAGTTTTAGATATTTTTGTCATTCTAATGGGTGTAAGGTGATATCTTAGTGTAGTTTTGATTTGCATTTCCCTGATGATCAGTGATGATGAGCATCTTTTCATGTGCCTATTGAAGGCCAGTTGATTTTTTAAAAATACTTTTTGTTTTGTGAAACAACTTTTGGTCGTTATTTTAGAAAACCTCTTTGTTGATGATGTCAAGTTTTAAGTTACTTTGATATTCTAAAAAATATCTAGGTATTAAGTGATAAGAAATTTAAAACCATTCTTTCATTAATGATGAAAAATTTCATTGTTTTGATATTAGTAGTTTTTAAACTTTTCCCAGGACTCCTAGGGTTCTACTTCATGTACTATTAATAGATACATGGAAGTCAGGCACTTAAGACTCTAGCTAACTGCCCTTCAATACACATCCAGACTTTTGAGAAAGAATAACTGCCTTATGTGTTATATATACACAGATTAAGGGAAAAAGGATTAGGGAAGATTTCCTTTAGGAGAAAAAACAAAAAGGTTTAGGCGTTCAAAACATAGTTTGAAAACTATGGTTTATATAATAGATTTGGTTACAGATCTGTCTAACATAGCATAGTCAATTCTCAGTTTTCTGGAGGTCAGTTAACTGGTTTGAGAGAAAATAGTTCCTCAAGTAACAGTCCTTATCTGGTAAAAAAAATTAAAATTACCGTAAATCAGAAAAACTGTCTATCCATTAAAAGATGCTAATTGTTTAGAACTACATTAGAACCTCTTTCTCCTATAACTTGAAGGCATGCATGTGGGCTGCAAAGGCAAGAATGGGAGGGTTGAGAGGAAGAGGTGAGGGAGTATGGAGTGGGTGTGGCTGTAGCTTTACCTTCCAACACCTAAGTGTGTAAGTGTTAGCATGGAGGAAATATATAACTAGAATTACATCTCTGTCCAACTAGATTCCTGTCAGGTATACAGAGATTTTAATTAAGTAACCAGCAATAGAAACTAATTTTTGACAATTTTTAGTGGTTCTTATTTTAGAAGACATCTTTTGGCATTTTTATTCCAATTAGTTTTATTTTAATATAATTTAAGTTTATTGTTACCATTTTATATATCTCACTTCCCCATTATTTGTCAAGTAATTGTTTGTGGCATTAAAATAAAGTAGAAGTCCTAAGTGGATAATTAAATTGAGGTAAAGCTGGGAATAAGTTAAGTCAAGTCATCTCTTAATTATCAGAGAGTGTATCATCCTTGGTGGGTTGGGACTTCTCTGAAACCATTAAGATGAACATCTCTGTAGAAGGACTGAGCTGAAAAGTTAAGACTAAGTACAAAGAAGAGTAGAGTTGCATATTATATCCAACTGGACATTCCAGGCCCTCAAACAGAAAGAGCTTTTTTTGTTTTTAGTGTTAAATTTAAAATATAATCCCCACATAAGATGTTGACTCCATTGTAGTATATGTGTGCACATATCTTTGTCAAAATTTTAAAACTCGAATATAGTATAAAAAATTGAGTCCAATATATCCTTTCATATTACATGCAAAATCAAAAGTTGATTATAAGGAAGCAATCAAAAGTTCACAAATTCTTTGCTTGGTTAAAAACCTTTATTTCTTTGAAACCCTCAATCTAATTAGTTTAGATTACCGTCATTTGAATGAGTGTATTCTTTTAGGATGGTGAAGTGTGATAAGTACTTAAAATTGGTAACATACTTCATTTTTTTTGATGAGCCCGTTAGTTGGTTAGCAAAAATGCCTTTATACGTTTTTATTATGTTGTCACCAAATTATTCACCATTTATTTTATCAATCAATAGCCATAACAAACTGAAAATACTCCCTGAAGAAATTACAAATCTAAGAAATCTGAAGGGCTTGTATCTTCAGCATAATGAACTAACTTGCCTACCAGAGGGATTTGAACAACTTTTCAGTTTAGAAGATTTGGTAAGTTGTGATTTTCCAATTTTTATATAATTTGGGGCTGGTGAGATTTTTCATCAGGCAGAGTAGTTGGATGTTATGATTGAAATCATAAGAATATGGACAGCTGACTATATGACCAGATTATCAGAAACCGTGCGTTTTAATTAGATTGCTAAATTAGTAATTGTAAATTTATTTTTCCTATGTTTTCGTGTGAAATCACGTTAAGTTTGAATTTGGAATAGAATTTGGGAAAGGGGTGATGAGGATGACTTTGTTATTCACAGGCTTTTATGGCTTGGTAAAGTAGAGGCACCGTGTATTCAGCGGAGACCAATCCCCTTTTCTGTACCCATTCCCGCTTCCTCCTGTATAGGCCCTGTGGCCCTGCTGTCCTGAGTGTCCAGACAACCCCTTTAAGACCTGCCTTTTCTTCCCTGTTTTTCAAAATGGCCACATAACCTGGCAACATTTTCATTCCATCTGTGTCACATCTTAGAGACAACCATAAAGCAATACAAATATTCTTTTAATCATGTTATTAGGAATAATAAAAAGAGTAGGCACTTTGCTTTGTGCTTTACGTATGGTAACATATGGTAAGGTAGATAGTTTTATTCCCTAATACAGATAGGAAACTAAAACTTATAAAAAAATGTAACTTATCTGAAGGCATGCAGCTAATAAGTAAGGAATTCAGCATTTCAACATAAGTCAGTTTGACTCCAAAGTGTATCCTTTTTTTCACCCCACTTTGTCACTGAAGGAGTAAGATTCCGCTGTGAAGTGCCCTCGCTGAAAGACTGTAGCCATGTTAGATCAGATATGCTGACATATAATCTCTGCTCCACATGGTGATTTCATGTTACATTCTTGTTCTTTTCTCTATTACACGTTTTCAAAAACTCATTTATGTCATTTTAGCCTTAAAGTTTATTTTTCATTAAAGGAAAAATTACTTCTTTTACTTATTTGTTTTCTTTAAACATGTGCTCCTTGGTATTTCCCTCACCTGTCCTAGTGTTTGAAATCAAGATGCATACTCTCCTCAACCATTCAATATCTCTTTTGTCTTTCAGTCTGATCAGATTGGAAATAAGGTTTGGGAATAACAGGCGTAGGTAGATAAAAATGAATGGCAAAGGAGAGAGCCGTCAGATTTTCTGATAAAATTTAATGGTAAAAGATAGCAGTTGGTTAAAAAAAAAAGTCTATTTAGAGTAGAAAGGAAGCCTGATAAATTACAACAGTTCCCCGTTGTTTTCCCATTATCGTTCCCGGATAGTCATTTGCATAATGAAAGGATGTTTCAGTTGAAAATTGTATTCATAAGGACTCAGTATCAAATAAATCATATGTGTGAGCAACAATATATTAAAACATTAAAAGTATAAGCGTCTGTTATAATTTAGGCTATTAATATTTCTTAAAGTTATGGAAAAACTGCTTAGCACGATGCTACTAAATACATATTTATGGAAGAAATGACAGCATAAATACTGATTAATTTATATGTAACATACTTATGTTTTATATCTAATTTAATTATTAACTGCAGTAATTAATTGTTTAACTTTATTAGTAATTCTGTGGATTTGGAGTCTTTAAAGTGTTTTAAGAATTTGTGAATTAATATCTTTTCTCTATCAGAAACTTTTTATTTTGAAATAATTTTAGATTCACAAAAATGTTGTAGAGATAGTACAGAAACTTCCCATATACCCTTCACCCAACTTTCCTTAATGTTCGCATTTTGTATAACTGTGAGACATTTGTAAAAAATGAAGAAACTGACGTTGGTACAATGTTACTAACTAAACTACAGATTTTATTAAGCTTTTCCCAGTTTTTCCACTAATGTCCTTTTTTTTTGTTCTAGGATCCAATCCAGAATACTACATTGCATTTAGTGTCAGTAACTTTTGATATTATACAATGTTTATTTATTAGTAATCTGTTGATTAGTGCTTAGAGTATTGGAGTTGTAGATTGTTATGTTGTATGTTGTAGATTATAATATGTTTTATGTTATTTATGATAAGTTAAAAATATGCTGATCTAGCATTTTTACGCTTTTCTATCTTCTTAATTTAGAGTCACCGAATGCAGTTGTTTAATGTTAGACTAAATGAAAGTCTTTAGAAAACAGTCCCTTGAAGTCACATTTTTTTTATTCGTTGTGGCCATTGGCCCTACCTACAGTTTGCTGGTAGCTAGTGGACTACTTACACACCTTATTCGAATGTTGTGAGAAGAATTATCTGATTCATAACATTGTGTTTTAAAGAGAGTTTCAAAAAAAAGTTCTCTCCTAACTGTTCAAAGGAAAAACAAACAATAACTTAAGGAACCATCAAGGTACAGAGATTAATTAGGCAAGCTTGAATGAATCAAATGTAGAGTAGAGTAGATTTTTGAACTTAGTCAAAGCACACTTGCTGAGGTCAGCAGAAGAACCACCAGGGAATATTTTTGTCTTCAAAAATTAAAATGGCCATTTTTTCAGTTTTATTTTTCTTTCTTTCACAAATTTTTCTCTCTTGCAAATATGTTTGTCATTTCATATTATAGTTTACTGCATACAGTTTGCCTAATGTATCTTAGGTATGCAATAAATATTGGATGAACAAATGGATTTTTTATTGAAAACATGATGCATGGTATATAACATGACTTAGCATTAACAGCAACTTCTATGCAAAAGATTTCTGTTTGTTTGTGGGGTTTTTTTGATGAGGAAGATTGGCCCTGAGCTAACATCTCTGACAGTCTTCCTCTATTTTGTGTGTGGGTTGCCTTCACGGCATGGCTTGATGAGTGGTGTAGGTCTGTGCCCAGGATCCAAACCTGTGAGTGCCGGGCTGCCAAAGCGGAGTGTGCCAAACTTAACTTAACACTATGCTACCCAGGCTGGCCTGTATGCAAAATATTTCTGAAGTCAGAATTTATTCTGATCCCTCTCTGCTACATTATTGGGCACATAGTGGGCCCATAGAATATTGAGGTAATGAATGATGATTTGTGAAATTGTCAGTGAATGAGGGTTACAAAATGTATCATCTCTGAAATAGTCTTTTTTCTGTTGCAATTGCCTCAAAATTCTGAAATCCCCGTTAGGGATCATTTATTTTTTTATTTATTTGTTCATTTATTCATTGTCTTTCTCTTTTTAAAGGATCTTTCGAACAATCGTCTTACAATTGTTCCTGCTAGTTTTTCTTCTCTATCCAGTCTGGTGCGACTCAATCTTTCCAGTAATCAGCTGAAGAGTTTACCAGCAGAAATAAGTGGAATGAAAAGTAATTCTCCGTTTTAAAAAAATATATAAATGTGAAGTTGTTGCAACTTACATTTAGAAACATAAATTTTAATGTACTTACAGTCGTAAGCCACATAACGTTTTGGTCAACGACGGACTGCATATACAATGGTGGTCCCATAAGATTAGTACCGTATGGGTGTGAAGTAGGCTATACTGCCTAAGTTTGTGTAAGTACGCTCTGTGATGTTCACACGACAACGGAATTGCCTAACAACACATTTTCAGAACGTATCCCCATGTTAAGCGACACACGACTGTAGTCAGTTACAGAGAAGTAAAATAATAGATTTTATGGTGTTGAATGCAAACCATAGCAACTAATCATATTTTCTCCACGCCATTATTGTCTAGCAACTTCCTAAACGATGACCAGCAAAAAAATACTTGGGCATATCAAAAAGAGGAAAAGAAAATATGATTATGAATTCTGGTACAATTATATACCTGAGAAATTGATTAAGGTTTTGAGCTATGCTAACTCTTCATTCATTCATTCAACATTCACTAAGAGGTTATTCCCTTCTCACAGGTGATTCCACCTGTGATATGTGGTTATATTATAGCTGTAGCCTCCTTGTGGTCTGTAAGTAATAGTGTCAAGAGATAGTCTAGTTTTGCCCAAATTGTCAGTCATTTTTTTTAAATGTTAAAATTTAGTGGTTCTGTTAAAATTTGAACCATTGAACCATCAAACTTAAAGTATTGTAGAACTACCGTTAAGAGATAAATTTAGGGTACATTTCAGAACCTTTTAGGTAAGTATACTTAGTCATCTTAGAATTCTTTATTTAGAGTCCAAAATCATTAAGAGTGATTTTTTTCATTTAAAGGCGAACTATTGTTATTTCTTGGTTGATGACCACACTGTGTGTCAGGTGTAGACTATTTCCTAGTTTATACTAGTTCCTAGTATATCTAGTTTTTTCTCTAATCATATGTAAGCCTTCTTCATTTTTTTTAAACCTCCCTTTGTGGAGGAAGTCATTAAATCACATAGAAGTGATTTAATACAGTTGATTACAGATCATTTTGAGGTAAATTTGTAAAATTGTGCTGTTTTACTTTAGATTAATAGTTATTTGTCATTTATAGTAGGAGTGCATAAGTTAAATGTGCCGTAAATCAAATTGACATTTTAGGGAAGTTTTACTTGTGGCGCCAGTAGTTGAGACTGCTTCTCTTTGCCAATTTTCAATAAAGGTGTTAGAAAAGCAGAGCTAAACTTAAAATATGGTATCTGGAGTGAGTATATAAGAAGCATAAATTTTTTTTCATAAATTGAGTGTAAATATCTTGAGAGATAGGAACAGATAGGAAAATCAATAGAAAAACACTTTGACTTTACAGCAATTTTTCTAATATACTATATAACTAATGATCCGAATCTTTCTGTCCTTCATTTATGACGGTGATACTTTTCAGCGATCACCAGCAGGACATTTAGTTGTTATTTCACCATTAATGATTGGATCCCAAGAACAATATTAGCATTTGTATGGTTCTCTGTAACTTGAAATGCCTTTACATATATCCGTTTGCCCTCACAACAGTTGTGTAAGTTAGCGGGGATATGTATTATTTACATTGTAAAGATTCATAAACCTAGGCTTAGAAGTTATATTGTAAATTGTAGAGCCAGAGCTTGAATACTCTTACTCCATCCCCATTGCTCTTTCCACTACATACTGCTTGTTTTCTCAATTAGTGCTCTCAGATGAAAACCTCTGTGAAAACTACAGTCTCTAACTTTAAAACAAACTTTTCTTTATAGAATTTACTGGATTTGGAGTAGATCAGATTATGACATTTTTCTCAATGCTCTAGCGAAATAATACATAAATTATTATTAGTTGAAAGTAGTACTATTAACATTGTTTCAAAAAACAGTTAGCTTCTTTAAACACTAAAAGAAGCAGTCTAAGGCAGTCTTGAATTATGTTAAATTGACAGGCTCAAAGTACAGGGAAAAAAGTTGTAAAATGCATATGGCCTATTAAAACTAGAGGCTTGAGAGTGAACTGTGGAAAATACGTGGTGGCCATCATAAATGGGAGAATTTGTAATATGGATCAGGGAGAAGCCTGCTTATGGAAGTCTTAAGGGAAAGAAGACCTTTACTTTTTTGCGTTTTTGTTTTCTGTTCTGCCTTTTAAGAAGGAAAGATCCAGGAGGTAAGAGAGACATGCTGCAAGTAAGAACTCTTCTTGAGCTATAATGTACCTTCTTGTCAAGTGTTAGCTAAGGTGTTAGAGAAAGCATGGACTTTAAAAAATAGAAGAAGAAAGGAAGGAAGAAGACAGGGAGTGAGAGAGAGGCAGTATGGATGGATGGGAGAGTAGGAGGGAATACATAGAAATCCAGGGCTTTTTGCCTATCTTAAATACAGAAGTGTCTAAGCTACTACTAGCCACAGTTACTTGGCATCCATTCATACAACTAGCATGCCTGCATATTTATATGTCTTTAACTACCTAAGCTTTTTTTTTTTGAAGATGTAAAATTTAAAGATACATAATTGCTGAGCGAAATAATATCTCATAGTGTATAGTTTATACATTTTAGAGTACTTTCATAGAGTACCAGAGTACTTTGCTTTTTCAAATCTTTTACAGAGATGACCTGGACTATTATTAAATATTAATTTTAATATTGTTATTTCTCTATAATTAAATGTAAAAATATCTTAGTTTATGTGTATTTAATTCAATGGTATTCTAGGATTCTTGATTATTATAGCAATGTATGATGGCATAGGTTTGTAGGTCCTCATGATTACATACACATTCTTTGAATGCATATACAATTGTAGATCAATATATTTTCTTTATTAAAGTATTTTTGCTTTTCACTAAATATGTATTACAGGATTAAAGCATTTGGATTGTAATTCAAACCTCTTGGAAACTATACCTCCTGAATTGGCTAGCATGGAATCACTAGAATTACTTTATTTGCGGAGGAATAAATTACGTTTTCTACCAGAATTTCCTTCTTGTAAATTATTAAAGGTACTATTTAGTTGATTATTAACTAACTATATATTTTCCAAAAATTAATTTTGAAAATGAAATTTGTAATTTGTTGGGAATAGGCTTTGGTTATAAGTGCTGTTTTTTTCATATATTTATATTTTTCATAATTTTAATATGACTAAATACATTAATGTTATTGTTAGTAGTAGATTTTTTTTAAAAAAAGAAATAATCAACTTAAAAAACAGGAATTTCTCCATGTCCTTTGGTAAGTAGCTTGTAATTGGAGAAGCAGTAGATGATGAGGCTGCACTGTAGGAGATATGGAACACCACGAAGGAATGTATCTGACTCCATAAGTTGCCACAATTATAATAAAAATAACTTTTTTGGTGCCAACCAGGTGGCATAGTGGTTAAGTTCGCATGCTTCGCTTCAGCAGCCAGGGGTTTGCCGGTTCATGTCCTGAGTGCGGACCTATACACCGCTCATCAAGCCATGCTGTGGTGGCAGTCCCAGATAGGAGAACTAGAAGGACTTACAACTAGGATATACAACTATGTCCTGGGGCTTTAGGGAGAAAAAAAAAGAAAGATTGGCAACAGATGTTAGCTCTGGGCTAGTCTTCCTCACCAAAAAAGCATACCTTAAAAAAAAAATTAAATGGATAAAAGTAATTTAAAAAAAAATAGCTTTTTAAACTTACACTGATTTGTTTTAAAATTTTAATTTTTATCAGTATAGTTCTTGGATCTGTTTTTTTTTAATTCTATAAATGTAATGACTAAATCATTTCTCTGCTTGGGTTTTATAAATGTTGAACTTTCTGTTAGATTAAACCTTTAATTATTTTTAAATTACCAGAAAATTCTTGAAAATTTTCTTTTTTTGCCATTTGTCTTTAGCTGTAAGATAGCTTAAATGTAATTGAAAATTTAAGCACCTTAGTAATTAGAAAGTCATGTTTTTTCCATGTGTTTTTCAATGATTTGAAATTAAGATTTCAATTTTATTTTCATTATCTGGTATAAAATGAAATACAGAAATACATATGATTGATCTTTGGTTTTTGTAGGAATTACATGTAGGTGAAAACCAGATTGAAATGTTAGGGGCAGAACATCTTAAGCATCTGAATTCTATCCTTGTGCTAGACCTGCGGGATAACAAGTTAAAATCTGTTCCAGATGAAATTACACTACTACAGTCTTTGGAAAGGCTTGATCTAAGCAACAATGATATTAGTAGGTAAGTTTAAATATCGAATAAGAAGTCATGTCTGTATTTGATTATAATTCGTAAGTTAAAATATTTGTAAAAAGTGTATAAAGATCTTGCTTCTAAATTGAATTTAATAAATATTTATTGAGCAGGTATCATGTACAGACCTACAAAGAGTAATTAGATTTTTGTCCTTGGCAGCAAGCTTAATCTGCAAATAGAATTAGATATATTTACAAGTGATTCTAACCCATGAGAACGTAAACTCTAGGAAGCCTGGATTTTTATCTGTTTTGTTCACTACTCTATCTCTAACTCCTAAATCAGTGCCTGGGTACATAGAAGGTGCCTGATAAATATTTATTGAATTTGTTAATGAGTATAAAGCCATGGGAAACACATAAAATGCTTTGGGACTTAAAGGAGATACATACAGGTATCACAGTTTATTGAGAGGAATCAGGGCAAACTTTGTGGAAGAAGTAACATTTTTAGATGATCTTTAGGACTAGGATTAGGGTGAGGCAAGTTAATTGCCTAAAGCACAAAATTTAAGAACACCCTCACTTTCAGGGTCATGCCTTACTAAAGTCCTATCACATGATCTTTAAAGTGATCAATTTTCACTACAAGTTTCAAGTACACATGTACGGTGATCAGAATGATTTGCTTGGCAGGAGAAAACTATACAAACAAAGCTTTGAAAGTTCAGAAAATTGTAGGAATACGTTCTGAGAACAGCAAGGAATCAAGTGGAACTGGTAAATAGGGTGCAAGTAGGGAGATTGTGAGAATTCGGGGCTTGAAAAATAAGTTGAGGCCATGTGAAAGAGGTCCTTGAAATGCCTGTGAAGAGTCAGTTTTCATTAGTTAACAGGTGGGGAGCTATTGAAAGATTAGGAAGAGAACCAGTTTGATCTTAATCTCATTAAAAAATAAATTGGTGATAGTGGGTTGTATACATTACATAGGAGTGGCTTTGTAGGTGATGAATCTAAATAAACTTTGTTAGATTAATCTAATAATATTTATCACTAAGGAGCATTTGCTATATCTAATTTACCGTATTGACAGCTTTGTAGATTTCTCTTGTATAGTAATGACCTGAACTGTGGTGACAGTGGAAACGGAAAGAAGAGGAAGGATGTGAGAGGTGTGATGAATCAGAATAAGTAGTATTTAGGAATTGATTGCTCGTGTTGGAGATGGGGAAGAGGAGGGTAGTGAGGAAAGAATGATAAAAAGTTATATAAGTATAATATTTAGAGACAGAATTATTTTACAGATACAAAAAAACAAGACTCAGACTTCTGTAGGATTGTACACTGGTTAGATGTCTGAGGTTTTGTGTTTAGATGTCAGAAACATGGTTTGCTATTCACAGAAAGAGAAAAGTTAGGCAAGCAGATTTTCTTCTATGTGTATATTTTAATAAATATTTTTAAAAATCAGAATTGTTTTCACAGTGTACATATGGCATATGGTATGTCTTGACTGTAGATTTGAATGCTTGGATGATAACCACTCTTTTCACTTACTTCTGTTTATGATACAGTTAGTAAGTGATCTGTTTATCCCTTAAATGCTTATCTTTTAACTGATGAATGAAATAAATTTCTTGCCTGTTATAAATATTGACAGATAAATTTTTTCCCATGGCAGTTTTATTTTGGCTACTGTATGAAAGCAATGGAAAGCAAATATTTAAAACAAAAGCTATGACAAATAATATTAAATGAATAAGTAATTTGTACAAATATTTCTGATATACATGTACCTCGTTCTCCAGCGCTCTGGATATGAAGTGTGTATATCTCACAGGGCCTAGAACCTAATGGCACGTAATAAAGACTAGTTTCTTTCCTCTAACCCCATACTTCCTAGATATTAGATAATTCTATTCATTTTGTACTCCTCCAGAATCTCTTCTAAACAAAATATTGATTCCTCACACTGCTACCAGAGTAGTTTTTATAAAATACAAATAAATTATCAGGCCATTCTGCTAAAAAGTTTTGATGGTTCTCCATTGTTATAGCACTGCTTCCCAAGTATGGCTATGTATCAGAATCATTGGAGAAGATTTAAGGAAAAAAATACAGATTCTGAGGCACCAGTGAATCAGAATCTCTAAAAATGGGACCATAAAATTGTTTTGTTTTTTGTTTTTTTGTTTTAAACAATTTCGAGGAGATTTTGGTGCCTCTGGTTTTCCAACCAGCAGTTGGAACTACTGTCTTGCAAGATGAAGTCCAGACTTTTTAGCATAACATTCAAGACCATCTCACAGAATTCATTCATTCTCTCTTTATCATCTTTCACTCCTGCTCTCTGACTACACTGAACTATAAATGTACTGACTTTTTCTTAATCTTCTTTCTTGGTCATAGAATGGCCTTTTCCTGCCTCACTGCCTGATGCAAGGAATCCCATTTGTCTTTTTAGACCCAAATCCAGGCTTTGCTACTCCTGTCCCCCACCTGTCCCCATGCTAATTTCCATATCTCTACTCTCACAACATTACTTGTTTAACATTTGTCTTGTCATATATATATATTAAATCATATTCACTTGTTGATGTATAATTTATATACAATAATATTCACCCATTTAAGCATACAATTTGATGATTTCTGACAACTGTGTATGTTTGTGTAACCATTGTTACAGTCATGTAGAACATTTGTCTCTCTAAAGTTTCCTCATACCCATTGCAGTCAGTCCCCTTTTCATATCCCCAACCTATAGCAGCCACTGATGTGCCATCACTCTAGTTTTGCCTTTTTTAGAATATCATGTAAATGGAATTACACAGTACATAGTTTTGTGTCTTCATTCATGGAGCATAGAGCTTTTGTGATCCATTCATGTGATTGTGTGTATCAGTAGGTCATTCATTTTTATTGCTGAGTGTCATTCCGTTATACAGATATACCACAATCTATTCGTCTCTTCACTAGCTAGTTATTGGATGTTTGGATTGTTTTCTATTTTGGTCTGTTGTGAACATTCATGTAAAAGTCTCTATGTGGACGTTATTTTCATTTCTCCTGGGTAAGTACATAGGAGTGGGATAGCTTAGGTGTATGGTAAGTGTATGTTTAAAAGACTGCTTTCCAAAGTGGCTGTACTATTTTATAGGCTCACCAATTTTATATTTTGGTTAGCTGTATGTGTGTCTTTTTCCTTTGTGCAGCTGAGAACTCCTTAAGGGCAAGGATCTTGATGTCCCTACACTAATGCCTAGTGTATTGTAGATGCTTAATAAATTCTGAGATTGAATGTTTCTGTGTATGAGTGTGCCAGAGATAAAAGTGACTTTTCTTTTTGAGTGAAAATATGAATTGAGTGATTGAACTTTATTTTTTTTCTTTTTATCATTTTTATTTAGGAAGAATTTTATTTGCTTGCTTGAGGGACAAAATCAAAACATTTAGTATCAGTGAGGATGGCTACCTTGTCAAATTTATATCTACAGGGCTGGCCCAGTGGCATAGTGGTTAAGTTTGAACATTTGGCTTCGGCAGCCCAGGGTTCGCTGGTTTGCATCCTGGGTGCAGAGCTACACACCACTCATCAAGCCATGCTGTGGTGGCATCCCACATAGGAGAACTAGAAGGACTTATGACTAGGGTATACAACTATGTACTGGGGCTTTAGGGAGGGGAAAAAAAAAGAAAGGAAGATTGCCAACAGATGTTAGCACCTGGCCAATCTTCCTCACCAAAAAGAAAAATGATAATAATTGTATTTTGAACATTTACATTTTAGCACTGGATGCAATTTAGCATTTTTTTAAAGCTCACATTCTTTTTTAACAATCACAATATGGTAATTTTGAAATAAATCTGGTTTTTCTTTTACATGTTCGGCATTTATCTTCAAGAGGAATATTTTAGGCCTACATCACTTGGGTTTTCTTTCACACAGTTATATGATATGTAATTTGTCATATGTTGTTAGTTTTCTAGTCAACTATTTGGTTGAATTATACTTTTCTTGATGTTTTTCCTGAAACCGGTTTAATCTTTTGTAGTCTGCCCTATTCATTGGGAAAACTTCATTTGAAATTCCTGGCACTAGAAGGAAATCCTTTGAGAACCATTCGAAGAGAAATTATAAATGTAAGCATATTTAGGATTCAGCTCTCGTTTTTAAATTTGCAATTCAGACATACATGTTGATCTCAACAACTGCAAAGTATGTCTTGGTGAATGTGTGTCTTTCTCTCCACCTTTTCAGAAAGGAACCCAAGAAGTCTTAAAATATCTACAAAGCAAGATTAAAGGTACTTTTCTACTTTCTCTTACATTTCAAAGTATAACATGACAGGTGGTGAAGTGTTAATAGTACATAAATTTACATGTATTTTGGTTGTAAATATTTAGAGGAAATGGTTCCTGGCTGGTGTGGCTCCAATTCTGAATCCATACACACCAGAAGTATGCTGAAGTTATGAAAAATCCTTAAATTCACAGTAATAATGTTCCATCCTTAATCGCTTTGATTTGTGTTATAGTGTACCAATTAGAAAATATAACAAAGAATTCAATAAGCATCTAATGCTTTAACTTTGAATAAAACAAAACTTGACTGTTATAATACATTGCTTCTCTTGACTGGGAAATATATTAACAGGTACTTGAATATCTACTGTATGCATAGTTTTGCTAAGTTCTGGCAAAAATAAAGACAAAAGACATTTTTAAAGATATGTTAATTTGGTATGAACAGGCACCAAAAGAGAAAATGATACTATAAATTTAATATTTAATGCTTCACTAAAATTGTGGTATATCTTAATTTTTATTTCATATATGTCATTGTAGCACACATTGAAGCATTAAGAAAAGAATTAGTTGCACCAGTATATTACTGCATAACAAACCACTCCTAAACTTAGTGGCTAAATGCAGCAGCTGTTAACTTGGCTCACAACTTTATTGATTATGGACAGCCTAGTCTAGCACCATATTACCAGTCAGTATATGTTAAGTGAATAAGATAACAGTATACTTAAGAAATTTCCATTTTCTGCCTTGCCTTTCAAATAAATTGTTAAAATAATTTTCTAAGACTCTTATTTCCTGCCCATCAAAGAGTTTCCTTTCTTCTCTAGGTATCCTTTCCCCTCCAGAAAAATTTGACTCTTCTGATATGCATCAGTTAGAAGTCATGTCAGAATAAGCAAATTTTTTGTAAGGCTATTTTTTTAGAGTAGTTTTAGGTTTACGAAAGGAAAGTACAGAGATTTCCTATATTTCCTCTGCCCCCGCAGACATAGCCTCCCTTGTTATCAACATCACTCACCAGAATGGCACATTTCTTGTTTTTTATCAAGGATAGACCTACACTGACATATAGTCACCTCAAGTCCATTGTTACCTTAAGGTTCACTCTTGGTGGTGTGCATTCTATGGGTCTGGACAAATGTATGATGACATGCATCCATCATTGAAATATCAAAGTATATAAAATATTTTCACTGCCCTAAAAATCTTCTCTGATCTGCCTTTTCATCCCCCAACCCCCATCTCTGGCAATCACTGATCTTATTGTCTCCATAGATTTGTCTTTTCCTGAATGTCATACATTTGGAATCATACAGTCTGTAACCTTTTCAGATTGACTTTTCACTTAGTAATATGCGTTTAAGCTTCTTCCATGTCTTTTCATGGTTTGATAGCTCATTTCTTTTTAGCACTGAATAATATTCCATTGTCTGGGTGTACCACAGTTTATTTTTCTATTTACCTACTGAAGGACATCTCGGTTGCTTCCAAATTTTGGCAGTTATATATAAAGCTGTTATTTTTGCATGTGGATGTCCTGTAGTTTCAGCACCATTTGTGGAAAAGACTATCTTTGCTCCATTGTATTGCCTTTGCTCCTGTCAAAGATCAATTGATTATAATTATGGAGGTCTATTTATGGGCTCTCTATTCTGTTCCATTGATTTATTTGTCTGTTCTTTTGCCAATATCACACTGTCTTGATTACTGCAGCTTTATGGTAAGTTTTGAAGTTGTATAGCATCAGTCCTTCAACTTTATTCTACTCCTTCAATATATCATTGGCTATTATGGGTTTTTTGTCTCTCCACATAAACTTTAGAATCAGTTTGTCAATATTGATAAAATAACTTTCTGAAATTTTGATTGGGATTGAATCTATAGATCAAGTAGGGAAGAACTGACATCTTGACAATACTGAGTCTCCCTTTCCATGAACATGGAATATCTCTCCATTTATTTGGTTCTTCTTTGATTTCATTCATCAGAGTTTTGCAGTTTTCCTCATATAGTTCTTGTACCTATTTTGTTAGATTTATACCTAAGTATTTCTTTTTTGAAGATACTGATGTAAATAGTATTGTGTTTTTAATTTCAAATTTTACTTGTTTTTTGTTGATAGAGAGGAAAGTAGTTTACTTTTATATATTCACCTTGCATTCTGCAACCTTACTGTGATCACTTATTAGTTTCAGGAGGGTTTTTTTGGTCAATTCTTTCAAATTTTTTCCCTAGATGATCATGTTATCTGTGAACAAAGGCAGTTTCATGTCCTGCTTCCCAAACTGTACACCTTTTACTTCCTTTTCTTCCCTTAATGCATTAGCAAGGACCAGTAAGCAGCATCCAGTAAGATGTTGAAAAGGAGTGGTGAGAGGGGACATCCTTGCTTTGTACCTGTTCTTAGGAGGAAACTTCAAGTTTCTCACCACTAAGTATGATGTTAACTGTAGGGTTTTTGTAGATGGTCTTTATCAAGTTGAGAAAGTTCATCTCTATTCCTAGTTTACTGAGAGTTTTTATCATGAATGGGTGTTGGATTTTTCAGATGATTTTTATGCATCTGTTGATATGACCATGTAATTTTTCTTTTTTAGCCTGTTGATATTAAGGATTACATTAATGAGTTTTTGAATGTTGAACTAGCCTTGCGTACCTAGGTTAAATCTCACTTGGTCATGGTGTATAATTCTTTTTATACTTTTTTAGATTTGCTTTGCTATTATTTTGTTGAAGATTTTTGCATGTATGTTCATGAGAGCATTGCTTTCTAGTTGTCTTTTTTTCGTAATGTATTTGTCTGGTTTTGGTATTAGAGTAATGCTAGCATGTAGAATGAATTAGGAAGTATTCCCTCTGCTTTTATCCTCTGAAAGAGATTGTAGAGAATTGATATAATTTCTACCTTAAACATTTGATAGAATTTACCACTGAACCCATCTGGGCCTGGTACTTTCTGTTTTGGAAGGTTATTAATTATTGATTAAATTTCTTTCATAGATATAGGCCTGTTCATTCAGGTTGTCTGTTTCTTCTTGTGTGAGTTTTGGCAGATTGTGCCTTTCAAGGAAGTGGTCCATTTCATCTAGGTTATCAAATTTGTGGATATAGAGTTATTACTCCTTTATTATCCTTTTCATATCCATGGGATCTATAGTGGTGCCCCATCTTTCATTTCTGGTATTAGTAATTTGTGCTGCTTTTTTCTTAGTTGGCCTGGCTTAAAGGCATATCAATTTTGTTGATCTTTTCAAATAACTAACTTTTGTTTTTATTGATTTTCTTTATTGATTTCCTGTTTTCAATTTCATCCATTTCTGCTCTAATTCATATTATTTCTTTTCTTCTTACTTTGATTTAATTTGCTCTTCTTTGTCTAACTTCCTAAGATAGAAGCTTAGATTATTGATTTTAAATCTTTCTTCTTTCCTGGTATATGCATTCAATGCTATAAATTTCCCTCTAAATACTGCTTTCTCTGCATCCAACAAATTTAGATAAGTTGTTTTCATTTTCATGTGGTTCAAAATATTTTAAAATTTCTCTTTAGTTTTCTTCTTTGAGCCATGTGTATTTAGAAATGTCTTGTTTAATCTCCACATATTTTGGGGTTTTCTGGTTATTTTTCTGTTATTGATCTCTGGTTTAGTTCCATTGTGGTCTGAGAGCAGACGTTGTAAGATTTCTATTCTTTTAAATTTGTTAGGGTGTGTTTTATGGCATTTTAAAGTGCAAAAATGATTAAATATATTAGGATATATACTAAGCTGTTGTATCATACATCACTTCTAATATGCCATTGGTCAGAACTTAGTCATATGGCCACACGTATAAGAAAAGCTGGGAAATAGTCTTTTTTTTTCTGCTAATAAAAAAAACAGCTTTATTGTGAGATAATTCACATACCATAGAATTTATCCATGTAAAGTGTACAATTAAATGATTTTTGCTGTATTAACAAATATATGTAACCATCATCATAGTCAGTTTTAGAACATTTCATCATCTCAAAAAGAATTTTCATACTTTTTGGCTATTATGGATAATGCTGTGACAAACGTTTATTTACAAGTTTGAGTGTGAACATATGTTGTCATTTCTCTTGCATATATATCTAGGAGTTGAATTGCTGGGTCATATGGTAACTTTATGTTTAGCCATTTGAGGAAGTGCCAGACTTTTACAAAGCAGCTGCACCAATTTCCATTCTCATCAGCGTTGTTTGAAAGTTCCGCTTCTTCTACATCCTCACCAACACTGGTTGTTTTCTGACTTTCTCATTCTAGACATCCTGGTGGGTATGAAGTGGTGTCTCACTGTAGATTTGATTTGCATTTCCCTGATGACTAATGATATTGAGCATCTTATCATGTGCTTATTGGACATTTGTACATCTTTGGAGAAATGTCTATTCAGATCCTTTGCCCAATTTTTAATTGGGTTATTTATCTTTTTATTATTGAGTTGGAATAGTTCTTTATGTATTCTAGAATAAATCTCTTGGCAGATATATGATTTGCAAATATTTCCTAGCCCCCTGTGAATTGTCTTTTCATTTTCTTATTGGTGTCTTTTGAACATGAAATTTTTTTTAAATTTTGATGAAGTCAATTATCTAGTTTTTCTTTTTTTGCCTATGTTTTTGGTTTCATATCTAAAAATCCTTTGCAAAATCCTATTTTATGAAGATTTGCCTCTGTTTTCTTCTAAGAGTTTTATACTTTTGCTCTTACATTTAAATTTTTGATCCATTTTGAGTTAATTTTTGTATAAGGTATAGCATAAGGGTCCAATGTAATTCTTTTGCATGTGGCTATCCAGTTTCCCTGCACCAGCTGTTGAAAAGACTGTTTTTCCTTGTTGAATGGTCTTGGCATCCTTTGTTGAAAATCAGTTGACCATAAATGTAGGGTTCATTCTAGACTTTCAGTTTTTTTCCATTGATCTGTATGTCTGTCCTGGGCCAGTACCATACTATCTTAATTGCTACTGCTTTGTAGTATGTTGGAAATCAGCAGGTATAAGTCCTCCTACTTTATTCTTCTTTCTCAAACTTGTTTTGACTATGCTGGGTTTCTTGCAATCCCGTATGAGTTTTAGAATCAGCTTGTTAATTTCTGCAAAGAAGTCAGCTGGGATTCTCATTGAATCTGTAGATCAGTTTGGGGAATATTGCCATCTTAGGTTTTTAAAAAGTCAGTAAATACACATGGTAAAAAAAATCAATCAATGAATATACAAAGATATATAATGAAAAGTAAATCTCTCTGTCACACACGTCTACTCCCAAGAGAATATTCTCCCTCTGTATTCTCAATGCTGATTATTAACAGTAGCTCTTTCAAAAGTGTTGAGAACACTCTATCTCAATATATAACACGGTATAGTATGTGTATATTTAAAAAATAAATGGACTTTGTTGCGGTGTAATATTGTCTGTCTGCTGATGTAATTTGGCAATATATGTTACATATTCTTTAAGATGATGTAGCCAAACCTCTAGGGAACTTCTAAACACCGAAGTATTCACTTGATACTATTTCCCTTAATGTCTTTTATCTCTGTTTGATTTTCTGTCATTTATTCTCTATTGCCTCTATAAATAAAATATTCATATGATTTTTGCATGGGAAATAATAGTTTAATAATTATTGATTAATGAATAACTGATGAACTCAAAGCAAGAGAAATACTACTACTTAGTAGTATTCAACAAATGTTCATTAAATGCCTACTGATTTGACGCAAGATCAGGGGTACTACTGTTTCTTTATGTTCTTTTCATGTGCCTTCTGCTCTTAATGTATGAATACTAGGACTGTTTATTTTTTCACATTGCTGAAAATTAATAGTCTTATTTTGCTTCTGTCTAGATTGCTGAAGTCTCTTTTGCCGAAAAATCACAAAGTCATTTCTTTTGAATGTGTATTTTTGTTTGTTTTGTTTTTTATACCATAAAATGGCAGTGTTAATCTCTGGAGATTAATGAGGGGGTTGATTGTGTGTGAATGTGTGAGTATGCATGCATTTTAGGAAATCTCTATTGAAGATGGTCATGCATTTGCTGTGAAAAAAAAATCTTAACATAAATAATGTACCAAAAGCTTACTTGATTATGCAGATTGACAGATTTTAAGTGACTGAGGATAATCAGCTTCACTGTGTCCTAAACTGAAACGATAGGCATATGCCTATTTGGTAGACATTTGTGAGAAATAATACTTTTCCTTTGTTAGCCAATTCCTTCTTATGGATGATATTATTTTTCTTAACAGGAAGGATTGCTTGTTGTTGTTTCTTCTGAGACATTATAATTACTCTTTGAAGGTTCTTTCCTACTCCTGAATTTCCTTATGGTAGGATTTATAAAAATATTTTGAAGCCACATTTTAGTAACTATCTGTTTTCCATTAAGTAAATATTAAGTGCTAGACCCAGATTTGAGTTATTGGAAAGAAAGCATATGACTAAAGACATTCTCACCAATAATATCTAGAAATCATATATACTATTTTTATGTATTTTCAAGAATTTTAAAAAATGATTTTGTAGTATAAATATTGGTTTTATATAACTTTTCTTTTGTCAGATGATGAACCTAGCCAAAATAACTCTGTTACTGAGACTGCCATGACACTACCAAGTGAATCCAGAGTCAATGTACACAGCATCGTCACGTTGAAAATATTGGACTATAGGTATGTAATTTGTTTTTCTAAGCATTGCAAAACATATGGGAAACTTTCAGAAATAACTTTCAGAAACCTTCAGAAAAAGGACAATTGATGAGGAAGAATTCATCCAAATGCATTAGTACTTGACTTAGAATAATAGCAATTGCAAAAACAATGATGAGATGAAAGCATATTAAAAGGGCAATGAACTTAAATGCCCATTCCTTAGGTGATTAGTGTTTATTAAGCTTCAGAGATAAATAGATGGTTATTAACATGTAGTAAAATTTTTATGATAAAGAACATTTTATTAATATAAAAATAAAAGAGTGAATGTATTGGTTAGTAATGAAATTTTCTGATTCAGTAACCAGCATCCAGAGAGAACTTTCTATTGGGGGTGTCTATATTAGTAAATAAGAAATAAGTATCATTTAGTTAATGAATACCTCACAGGCAAAGCTTGAGAGGTTCTACCCCGTTATTCTATCTGAATACAAGTCAAATATTATGTCATCATAATAATGCACTCTGGTAGCACATATATTAAGCCAGAAACAATTACAATGTTAGTAGATAAATTGAGACAGAAGCCTAAAAGTTTTATATATTATGGAAGCGTATTTGACTGGGGAAAGAAGATACCTATGCAAAGATTGGAAGTGGTTGTCAAGTATTCTTCCCGTACTGTCTAAGGCATCAAAGATAAAAGTAATCAAGACTGTCCAAGCTCTTGCAGTGATTGGCTCATGTCTGGGTGTTGTAATGAAAATACAAAAGAATACAGGCTCAAGTGAGATAGGTGACTAGATTTATTTGATTATCTACATAGCCAGTATCAGTGTCTGGCCTCTTTTCCTTAATGTGTCAGGAGCAACCACCTCCTCAGCAGTCAGGATACAGTCTGTGTTTCAGATTTGTTGCGTTTCATTCACATTGGTCTCACCACTTGCCTGCCACTCTGTGATGTATGTAGAAATCACTACCCTAATCCAGCTTCCTTCTTTGACACTGTAACACAAAGTATTTCTCTTCTGTGCTCAGATTTGTGTCTTTCTTCTCTCATAGCATAGCATGGCAACTTAGCATGTCTTATCTTCCACATGATGTACCTATTTGTTCAGTAGATATTTTTGGAGCCCACTATGTATCAAATTCTGTACTAGGTGTCATGCTACACTGAATGAGACAGACTTGATTCCTGCCTTAGAATTTCTTAGCTTAGAATTTCTTTTGTCTCTGGCTTCCATTCCCTCCACCCTGAGTGGATAGCATTTTTGGAGTCCCTTTCTGTGCAGAGCAGTGTACTAGATATTTTACATGTGCTGTTGCTTTTAATCCTCCGAATGATCTATAAAGTACTATTGATACAATTTTATTTTGGATAATCATTCCCACTTGTTTTTTTTTTTTTTGAGGAAGATTAGCCCTGAGCTAACTGCTGCCAATCCTCCTCTTTTTGCTGAGGAAGACTGGCCCTGAGCTAACATCCGTGCCCATCTTCCTCTACTTTGTGTGTGGTATGCCTGCCACAGCATAGCTTGCCAAGTGGTGCCATGTCCGCACCCAGGATCCGAACCGGCGAACCCTGGGCCACCAAAGCAGAATGTGTGCACTTAACCGCTGCGCCACCACACGGGCCCCCATCATTCCCACTTTTTAAAGACACAGATATCACAAAAGCATAATAAAGATAGCACTTAATGCCATACATCTTAGGTTGTTTTGATTCTAAATTTATTGTAATTTGTTTTCCTCAGAGACTTTCATTGGAAAGGAATATCCTATTTAAAATATAAATTAATTCCCAATCTCAAGGCAGAAATGCTTTCAACTAAATTTTTAAAAATAGCATGAATCTTCAAAGCTTAATTAGCTTTGAGCATTTCTGATTGCAAAGATAAAAATGCTACATCTGCACAGCAGAAGATGGGACCTAAAGCAGAAGACAAGGCCTAACAACTCTGAAATCTAGGCTTTCTTTTTACCTGTCTGTGTTACAATGCCTTTCTTACACAGTTCTCCCATAATGCACATTATATCTAGTATTGTTTTCTTTCTCATACGGTCATTCATTTGACATTGCATTGAAAATTCTTTTAAGTGGATGACGTGTTAGGCATTAAAAATTGTAAAAGAAGAATGTAAGGATAATGACTAATTCTAACAACAAACATCAACAGATTGTTAAATCTGCAAAGGTCGGAGTTCTACTATACTTTCCTTTAAGATTAAATTTATATTTTATTCAAAATTTTACTGAAAATTTTAATGAAAAGGAAATTTATTTATATTTACATTTGCAAAAGATCTAGCATAAATAATAATAACTTCAGATTCTAATTTCACAGAACTGAGGTTCGAGAAAGGTCAATTAGAAAGCTCATTAATGTTAGAACCAGGAATAGTTTAGTCTGTGTCCACTGGCCTGTCTACCTGGTCACATGCTAAAGGAGAGAGAAACTGGTTTAGGTTATGAGGAAACTAGATTAGTATTATTTTGAACTTTTAAAAATGATCATTATCTTACAGTTAACTCTATACCCAAAGAAAGTTGACAGATAAACCCTGTTAGAGATTTTTAAGAAAAGGGTCAAAATTTTTAAGATTGTAGTTCTTAAAATTAAAATTTAAAAATTTTAGTTCTACTCTGCAGTAGAGGAATCCATTTACTGTATGACCATGCATTTCCTGTATGATTTCTAGACATCTTAGACTCTGAAGGTATATGTCTGTTTTCACTCACGTAGAGTATGTGAGTCTCAGAAGGATTGGCACAGTGTGTCATGGTGTTTGACTTCCTACTGGTTAACATTTTGTGAGTTCGCAGGTTTTTGTAGCGTTCTTTATAGAACTTCGTAATCAACTGGCCTGAAAAACCTCCTTATAAAATCTTTAAAGGCCTTTAAAAATGAAAAGTAATAATCGTATCTTTCTGGATTGCTAAGAATGATACATTTTTTAAACCATTTTTCATTTAGTGATAAACAAGCAGTTTTGATTCCTGATGAAGTGTTTGATGCAGTAAAAAGCAACATTGTCACTTCTGTTAACTTCAGTAAGAATCAGCTATGTGAAATTCCAAAAAGGTAAGAACTGTTCATGATGCCATTTCTATTAAGTTGTGACTCATTCTTACTTGTGTTTGCATCTTAGTTGAAAGAATAATTATTTTTCATAGTTTTTTAATTTTGAAAGTATATCTAGGGGCTGGCCTGGTGGCGCAGCAGTTAAGTTCACACGTTCTGATTTGGTGGCCCTGGTTTGCTTCTTCAGATCCCAGATGCGGCCCTATGTACACTTGGCAAGCCATGCTGTGGCAGGCATCCCACATATAAAGTAGAGGAAGATGGCATGGATGTTAGCTCAGGCCCAGTCTTCCTCAGCAAAAAAAAAAAAAAAAAAAAATGAAGAAGAAGAAGAAGAAGAAGAGGATTGGCAGCAGATGTTAGCTCAGGGCTAATCTTCCTCAAGAAAAAAAAAAAGTATATGTAAAATTTCTTGCATTAGAGGGATTTAGCAAAATTTACTTAAGTATTCCCTGAGATACTTGTAACATTAACATTCTGAGAGGTATATAGGTTTTCTAAAACTTTTTCTTTTACATTTTAAACTTGGAAAATAAGTATTAGAATTATTAAAAGTATTAAATTGCTTTTTCTTATATAATGAAATTTAGAGGAAAAGTTTTAAGAGATCATGCAAACCCAGGTCCATGTAGATTAATAGGAATTTTCATTTGGGGCTTTATGTTAATGAATTGGTAGGCCACTGAATTTTTCCACTGATAGTAAAAGCAAAATTGACTGAACCCTGTTAATATTTTCCTCCCAGAAAAGGATTCTTCACTTCCAAACATCAGAAGTTGTTTGCATTGTACTCTGTACTGTTTAATACATCTTTATTCATGTTAATTGTAACAGAATCTTTAGGTTATGAGAGAAAATTAGTTTAGTATAATATTGAACTTTTAAAAATGACTATTTTTTTGCAGTAAACTATATACCCCAAAACAGTTGAAAGATAACCTTGCAATGAAAACAACAGTGAGGGAGACGGGATAGGGTAATGATAAAGAACCTGGGCCATAGAATCGATTGTTTGTATCTATATCCCAGATCTATGAACTGTATGTCCTTGGACAAGTTAACTGACTGCTCTTAGTTTCCTTACTTCTGAAGTAGAGAGAGTAACAGTGCCCATTTATAAGTATTAAATTACATTACATAATCCACATAAAGCATTTAGCCAGTGCCTAGCCCTTGATAAGCACTTAAGTCTTCTAAAAAAAGATGATATATTGGGAAAATAGAATGGGTTTCATCTAACTGCCAAAAAATATTTTTAGATGTTTAAAATTTTTAAAAAGTCAGAAAACTATAATTTGTTTTCTGTTTTACAGACCATGGTTTGGGGAATGTGGATCTTGAAAGATGGTAACTTTCAGAGGTTCCATTGCAAAAGGAGATCCAGTCCGTCCTCTCATTTTCTCTGCTTAAAGGGCTCAGAGGGCATTTGATAGACTACTTGAGCATTTAGATTTGCTGTCAGATGGGATAAGTTTGCCGTGGGGATCCTGGATCAAACAAGCTAGTTGGGAATGAAGATGGAAGGGTTAAAAAGACATTACCTTTTTACTTACTGTCTCATTTTATCTAGCTATTCTTACGCAAAACAATGTTATTCTGTTACCACAGTTATTCCAGCATACTTTTAGCAATTTAGAAGGCCAAAGAGGAAAGATAGTAAAGACATACCTTGCTCTAGAGAGTTTCTAAACCACTTTCCCTCTTTCTTAAATTTTTATTTCACAAGTCACTTTTCACCATATTATTTTCTGATTGTAAAAATAATACTTATTCATAAAATTTTGGACTAAATGAAGGGATAAATCATTTATAATCCCATTACTGATTTATTCTATTCGTGGCACATTTTATTTGAAGCTATTCCCCATTTAGAATTATACATACAATTTGTATCTTGATTGGTTTATTTGTCATAAGTATTTCTCTATGTTGTAAACAGTACTTTTAAAATCTCATTTGTCTGTATACCCTAAGATTGATTATGGCAACAAATGAAACATTTTTCTTTTTAGGCCAGATTTCCAGAAGAATTACTAGATCAAAGAGTATGGCTCTTATTTATATCCAAAAACTTTCCAAAAAAGTTTTATCAGTTACATCTCCAAACTCATTGTATCTTTCCTGTGTCCTCTTTAGCACAGCATTTGATATTCTTTGGGTTTTTTCTTTGCTAATGTGATAGGCAAGAATGATGTACAGTTCTAGTTTAACTTTCATTTCTTGGCAAATCCTATATATTTCTTGTTTTTATAATTAAATTAATGTACTTTAAGCTTGATTAAGCTTCTTAGGACATTTAATTCTTCCTCTTTAAGGTTTAACTTAAGTTGCTTAGTAGTGACACTTCCAAACCTAGGAATTAACTTAATGTTTTCTTGCAATCATGATTAAATATAATGATAATTTAGATAACAAATGCTGTACTATACTTTTAAAATGTTAACATATCATATCGAAAAAAGCACTTTGAATACCCAGATACAGATGGTATTAAACTATGCAGTCTAAAAAGGAAACTGCTGTGTTACAGAGTATAGTATAATAATTGCCTAGATTTGGTTTTTCTTCTTTGTCCATAATTGATTTAAATATAAAATAAATGGGTTCCTAAATTAGACTTCAACATACATTTAAGGTCAAATAGAAATCTTGGACAGATAATATTAAGGCTGTTTTTAAAAATCTGTTTTTATCAGTTATACTTCCAAACTGATTGAAATTTTTGTGAGAAAAGTAAAAGTTACAGAGAATCTTAATTAGCAGAAATAATATAGGATTTTTCCCCCCGTGGCCTGCTTGTAGTTTTGAAGTTCTGACAGTGAATTCCAGTGCTAACATTTTAAAATTATTTTTGTTTCAGGATTATAGAACTGAAGGAAATGGTTTCTGATGTCAATCTCAGTTTTAATAAACTTTCCTTTGTATCCTTGGAATTATGTACACTTCAGAAATTGACTTTTTTAGATCTCAGGTATTTATTGATACTATTGCTTGACTTTTTTCATTATAACTTGTCTTTGAGATTTGCCTAACTTTTGACCTTTCCCTCATATTTCCCAGGTAAATGTGGAAATTGGTCTTTAGTTTGTTAATAATATCTTAGAAAAAAATCTAAAATGAAGCATTTAGGAAATATTTTAATCAGATATCTATCATTTGTAAACAATTTATAAGTTAAGTGATAAGATAAAATTATTTAAAATATTAGAAAATATTAACACATCCTTTAGATTCATGCTTAAGCAAAATTACAAATAACACATAGAAAGTGTGTACTTCACATTGTTTCTTTCCTAAAAGTAAATAGCATAAAATGATCAAAACCCTATGTTGGTACAGCAGCTTGCATGGCTTCTCTTAAAAAGAACCTATTTGGTTTCAAAATATTATATTAAACATGCAAGCCCAGAAATAAAGAAAAAGAACACTGTAAGTGGAGCCAAAAAGAGAAAAAACTGTTTAAGAATCTGCAAAAGGTAATAGGAAGTTTAAATATGTCAAAGTTGAAGTGACAGGATCAGAACTGTCACAGTTCTTTGAGGGTAATATGTAATGTATGTCTCAGCGTTAGATAGTCATTTATTTGCTTGGGCTTTAAAACTTTATTTGTAAATTATGTCTCTATCATCTGGGCTTCCTACTGCTCGTATATTGTTACTAGGTGTGGTTTTAGTTTATTTAGAGTATAGCTCCTCTTGCTCTGCTCAAACAGTGGTTAAATAACAATAAGCTAAGTTAGAACTGAGGATTTATCCTTCCTATAGAGACAAAAATTTTTTACTTATGGGATTAAAGTAAATCTGTAATACTCTGCTCCTACTAAATGTGGGATTGCTTTTATTTTTTGATGGCAATTACTGGCAAAACAGTGTAAAACCACATTTTAGTTCAGTATTAATGGAGCAGACAGAATGACTTCATGTCCCCATTGCTGCTGGCTTTCTTTTCATCCCATTCTTCAGTGGGTGTATGTATATATATGCCTCTGTCTATAACCATACCTGGAAGTTTCTAATTAAGTGACTAAAATATGCTTTTTATGTCTCATATCGGTAGGTATGAGACTCTAAGAAAAGGATAGAAACCGTCCTTGGGTTATTCACCACAACCTAATAAAGACAATAACTGGAGAAAACTACAGAGAAAAGAAATAAAGAACATAGGTTGAGCTGTAGAAAGTATGATTCTTACGTATTAGGCTTGACTTCTGAACTCAAAAAAATAGTTTAGAGAAAATTATTCAGTTGTAATGGGTGACCTCTAATGGGGTATAATTTTCTCACAAATATTTTATATTATTAGTAGTTACACAGCCTCTTGAATCCTTCTACCTTCCGTTAACCTTTCTTCTAACATTTTCCCCAGATTCTTCCAAGAGTAAATGAGATTATGTTTACTTCCATGTCTCATTGTAAGAGCTAAAAAATATACGCATTGTGCAAATTGAAATTTCTTATTCTAAACGTAGAGTAGAAATGGATTTGCTTAACACCTATGTAGTAGAAAGCTCCAAATTTTTAAATATGGCTAGAATCTCTTTACTTTCCTCTTTCCTTTTTTCCGTATAATTTTTCAATTCTTCTTAGAGTAGAATTTCATATCTGTATGTGAGATATATGTGTTAACACAAATCAAATATTTGTGGTATCAAATGATATGGTATTTACAGGCATGATCTAAAGGGCCCTGAACTTCGGGAAGTATTTCTGAGCTCAGTTTGAAGGAGATAAGGGACTGGTTTACACTGTTTATCCTGTTAAATCTATTATTAAAGAGTTAATTGCAGTATCAGTTGTTTACGTTTTGCTATTAAGATTTGGCACACTGATCAAATACTTGAGGCGGCTGCCTGATTTAGAATCCTCAAGACTCAGCTTTAATGAGATCAGATCAAGGACTGAACAACCTGAGCTACGTCATTTGTCTGATCAGCACTTTGTTAAACTTGTCCAAATTTTCAAGCTTTGTAAATCATCTTTTTCTTCCCAATTTAGGAACAATTTTTTAAATTCTTTGCCTGAAGAAATGGAATCGTTGATAAGACTACAAACAATCAATCTTTCCTTTAATAGGTAAGAGAGAACAGACTAGCGTGCGACTAACGGTTATTCTGTGGAAAATCTGAAGGTCTTACTAGAGAATACAACTGAAGGATCCAAATGAACACAAGCCCTGTGTTTTTATTTTATTTAAATATCCAGGTTATTTTGACTTAGTTCTACTTAGAATTGAAAATGATGTTGCTTTCTTAGAATTTTCACAATTGATATCTAGTAGACTTTTGTTCTTTTTGACCATTTTAAGAAACTTGTAGCCTAGTAGGCAGACAAATGTGCTAATAGATAATTATAATTGCTGTAGTGGAAGCACAGTGCGTAGACAGAGATGTTCCCTGCAATCACCTGAAAGGAGGGGAGGTAGCATTGAAACTGAGACTGGAGAAACAGACAGACGTTTGCCAGACCCACAGGGCTAAGGCATCCCAGGGGAGCTGCCAGCAGGCACGGAGGCACAAAGGGGTGAGAACGCGGCATGTTCGGGACACTCAGGAAGTTGATCAGGGCTCAGACTCTAAAGTGAGGAGGGAGAGGAGCAGCAGTCCAGTGAAGGGGGGCATGTAGGCGGCAGCCAGCCCTTTAAGAGCTTTTATGCCAAATGAAATTTAGATTTTATTCTGCAAACACTATAAAGATACTGCTAATAATTAAGAATAGCTAATATTTAACAAGAGCTTATTATCTGCTGACGCTGGACTAAGTACTTACGTGTATTATCTCATTTCATCCTCACAAAAGCCCTACATGATAGTTCTGTTATTAAGTCCATTTAAAAATGAAGGATTAGGAGTTAAGTAACTCATCTAAGGTTCACACAGACAGTAAATTAGAGAGCTGGGATTTGAGTCCAGAAACTGGGCTCTTAACAACTATCTCTTAGTACGTTTCCTATGATGAAAAGTTAATTCTGGTAACAATTTAATATAAATATTAATGGCTAACATTTACTGTATTCCAGATACTATCCTAACGTCTTCAGATATATTCATTCAATGTTTGTAACAAGTGTCAAAGTTTAGTACTATTATTATTTCTCATTTGCAGATGAGGAAACTAAGGCACAGTGATGTTAAAATACTGCCTATTTAAATTTTTGTTCCATCTGCTCCATTATTTGTACTTTCTCATGTGTAGGTTATGTTGTCATTATTTAAAAATATATACACTTCTCTGATCTCTCCTCATTTTTATTTGGGAATTAAACTATCAGTTCTCTATTGAGTTGTCTATGGCGCTATCAATTTCATTGTCAAGTACTGTCTTTGGGGAGGTGGCAAAAGTTGACCTTAGCGTCTGTGTTAGCAGGTGAGGCACATCTTTTTTAATTACCTTGTTTGTGGAGTGGGACTCCCTAGGGGCAGTTTGGTCCAGCTGTACTCCTGGTTGTTGACTCTCCAGTTCCTCTGGAACTTCAGAGCTGCCTTGAGTCACCATTCACGCCACTTTTGTTTTCTTACATCAAAGGAGCAAAGGAAGAGCAGTGTGGGGGAGTGGAAAGGCCACAGTTAGAAGCTCTCCCCAGGCCATCCTTGTCTTTTTTAGTCCAGGCTGCGGTTTGCCTCACACTGAAACCGTGCAGCCTCTTTCCCCCGGGAGATCCTCAAGGGTTCTGTGTGCACTGCTGAGTATTGCTCTAAGAGCCCTCTGCCTTCCCATCTCTCTCAGGGCATCTTCCGGGTTGCTTTGGATGGGGAAGCCAGCAACCTACGCTGGTTTTCATCTTTCCAAGAACCAAAACTGCACTCACTTTGGAAGCTTCAGTCAAAGCAAAATAAAAATCTCTAATTTTTTCATAAATATTGGCAGTGATTCTATTTCATAAGAAGTGAAAGTGAACTAAGGAAGAACACCCACATGGAGACATTATACAGGGAATCTCAGGAGGACTTCCTGGTCTCCTGAATGTGAAGAGAAAATCACGGGAGAATTTACGCCAAACTTTTGATTTTATTCAACAAATAGAAACTGTTACAAGTCTGCCCACTTAACATGTATTTCAAGGTTTCCAAAATTAGTCCATTTTCTGGAAAATACAGGGCTTATATCAAATATAAAATAACTTACACTAAAGAAAACTACCTCATGATATCAAATGTAAGATCTATTTGAAGGAATGATTTTGCCTCCGATGCCAATATATTTGGGTGTTCTGTTCATATTTTAATAGGTTCAAAATACTACCTGAAGTTCTGTATCGCATCCCCACACTTGAAACAATTTTGATTAGTAACAATCAGGTAGGATCTGTGGACCCTCAGAAAATGAAGACAATGGAAAATCTGATCACGCTGGACCTTCAAAACAATGACCTCCTACAAATTCCACCAGAGCTTGGTAATTGTGTGAACTTAAGGTAACTACACCATTCCACTATGTTTTTCCATTTATTCGATTGATTTTTTGAAGGGTTCTTTTCCTTTTTGTCCTGTTGAGGTGCTCTTGCAGGAAAGCCAAAGTAAAAAATTTAATGTCCTGTTAAAATAACAGGTAACAAAGCCCAGAATCCCAATTCTGTTTTTCAAATTTTGCCAAATACATTCTTTTAGCTTTGTTTATATGTATAATATATGTGTAAATATAGTAACTGTTTCTAGTGAAACTTTTCTCATCACTGTGTATGTGTATAACCTGGAACTTTACTGCATAACAATGTCAGGGAAATATAAACTCCTTAGCTGAGCGTATGGAAGTTTTCAAAATCTGATTGCAGACTGCCACCATTTATTGCAAGCTCAGCATGGTCTTTCTTACTCTTTGTGTTTGCTGTTCCCTCAGCTTCAAATGCCTTTACCTGCTTTTATCAGTAAGCAACCTAAATATCACCTTTGAAAACCTTCCTTATTCTCTAGGCAGAGTTACTCCCTCTGACTTCCCATCATGCTTTGTTTGGACTCATTTTATACCATTTCTTTGCCCTCCTTTAGAAAAGAGTTGTTCTGGTGCCTGGAACAGAGTAAGCAGCCAATAAATACTTGTTAAGTGAATGTAAAGGGAGTTTGAGATGTCAACTGAAAGCCAAATAGTCAAGCAGAATGTGTGAGAAGTAATTGAATTCTTGGAAACTGCATGTGACAGTTTGGCATATTTAACTTTACCAGGGCAGCACTGGCACCTCAGGACCTCCTGTTAGAGAATGCTAGGAGGCCAGCACAGGTGATTCTCGTGACTTGCAGAGGTGGTATCCTGTGAAGTCTCTGTGAGCACCACACTCCTGGGGAGGACTATACAGAGTCAGGTTCTCGTGAGCCTCTCGTCACAGCATTTTCATCAACCAGTCAATACATAACCTTGTTTTATGTGTGTTTCTGTATTAAGACACCTTATTTAATATTGTTGATTCATTAACACTGAACTCTGGCCAAACAAGCCTGGATGAAGTTTATCTAATGTGTTTTCTCTGTAAGGCACATGACTGCCTTGTGTTTAGGAAAACTAGCCAGCACTTCAGTACTACACTTGTCGGCCATTGTAAACAGTGAAATCACCAACAAAAAGTACAAAAATGCAAAAAGTGTTGCACTAGATAGACCACAAAACACTTGTTTACAGTATGAAAGCTGAAACAAGAAGGCAGAGCCTCACCTTGTGCGACCTCAGCTGGGAATGAGCCTGTCGAGTGACTCAGATTTTTTGCTGCTTTGTGCATGTCCACAGATGACCTTGAAAGTGCCACGTGCATTGATTTTGAGGTTACAAATAAGTTTTAGTGAGTCAGCAAATTAGCAAATATGAACTCTTTGAATAATGAGGATCAACTGTAATTAACTCCTTTTTCTATAAATTAAGAAAAGCAGTTTTTAAGAGTTCCCAAGGCACATAGAAATATTTGAAGATAGAGTTTAGATCTACTATATAATATGGTGTAAATCCTTTGACTTGCGTTTATACAAACACTTGTTATTGAAAATTAATATAAAAATGTCTTTATCCTATAATTTCAGATATTTCGTTAATTAAAGAAACAAATCAACAAGCCCTTAAATTTTAAATTGAACCTCATTTCAGAACATGTAAATAGATTTTATATGTGTATCTGGTCAAGGGAGGGAGAGGGCAACATATGTTGTTTCCCCAGGGCAGAGGGGTTATGTTACAGTTCTTGGTACTAATGCTTGTCAGTATGCTCATTCTAATACTTGTGTAAATATAATTGAGCCATTTAGTATATGGTCATTATAAGACTGAGAAGAGGATGGGTACAATGGTGTTCAGATCACAGATCCTCTCTTCAATAGCTGTGTGATCTTAGACAAGTCTTTCTGACCTCCCTGAACTTGTATCTTCTTATCTAGAAAATAGGAATATTAATGGTGCCTACATCATAGGGTTGTTAAGATAATTAAAAGTCAGTGAATGTAAATTACTTAGCATAGTATGTTTCACGTAACTTAAGTATTCAATTAATGTTGTTTTGGTTATTATAGTTATAATTCCAACTATTTAAATGCTCAGATTTGAAAAGGGAGAAACAGAAAAAAATACCCAAATTTTATTTATAAAATTGCAGATGAAATTAGAACAAACTCCTCCTAATGGAAAATGTTAAAATTCTTAATTTCTCTCTTTTGTTCAGGACATTATTACTAGATGGAAATCCATTCCGCGTTCCTCGAGCAGCCATATTAATGAAAGGAACAGCTGCTATTCTGGAATATTTGAGAGACCGAATTCCTACTTAAATTGGAGTTGTCTTATAATCTTTGTCATGTTAATTCTTAGAATTCTTACATTGACAGCTGACATTTTTCTAAGGTATTGTGTACGTTTATAAAGGCGATAACTACGTATAGTGCTCATACATTTGTTCTGAATGTTTTGCAGATTTATCCTACTCACTTTAATTCCTTAATAACATAGTTTCTTCAAAGGTGAATTTTTATTTAATATAGTTTAGTGTTTTTATAATGACAAAGCGTTTTTGTAGAAGTGAGTTTTTCCCGTTTCTGTTTGTGTTACATATAATATGACCAGTTGACTTGAATATGACCATCCAATTTCTACCTTTTTATTAAGTATGACATTGAATTGAATTTTATTCAGTACTGTTCTTTGGCATTTAACAAAATACGACTTTTCATTACTCATGGTTAGGCCTTTTGTGATGTGGTTGGTCTCAGTGTAAGTTTTAAATATTAACGTTGACCGTCTTGTTTTTGTTTTAATGTAGTTGAAATGTTTCTTTTCTAGCCTTTCCCCCATGTTTTATAAACTAATTTTTTCAGAGTTTCTCCTGTCACAGAAATGCTACCCAAGATATAGTTATTGGTGGAAAGAATAGTAAAAGTGTTATTATAATTGCTCTCACAACTTTTAATTTAAAACTTGTCAAGTTTTTTTTTATGATGTCTTAATGTTAAGTTTCCATACAATGATCTAGTACTTCTAGATTCAGGGAATTTAAAGAGATTGGCTCTGCATATTTTTCCCTCAGTTAGACTCTGAGCATTTTAAAAATATCTTTGTTCTTTAAAAAAAAAGTACTGAAATTTTATTAATTTTATAGATATCAGCAACCAAAAAAATAACATATACTGCATAGAAATCTTGAAATGTACTTTGTTTAAATACTTACGGAGCGAGTATTTGTATACTTAATCTACTCTCTTGGTGTGCTCTAATCCAACCTTGTGCATTTTTTAATTTCCAAGGCCTTAATTTTAAAACTTGCTTGCAATCTTGATAAGACTAAACTTGTAGTCATGTGGTAATTTTTTAAAAAGGAATTTGTTATAGATGAACCTGATTTAACAAAAATCAAATATAAACATTATTATTTACACCAAAAATATCAAAAGTAGGATGGTCAGTCATTATAAAACTTATCATGTGATTCTATTAAGTAGCCAATCAGTAGGATGTATATTAATTTATATAGATAGATAAGTAGATAGGTAGACAGGTAGATAGATAGATAACTTTTAGATGATTGAGACGTGCTCATCTTGTGGAAAAAAATCATTGTTAATAAAGATAAATACTACATGTTCATAATAAAAATTACATTTTTCAAGTATTGATTACAATGTTTATGTTTTTGGTTTAAAAGAAACATGCCCTAACTAAGAAATCTGCTTGATATTAAACAAAAGACACTTTACAATAAGGTGACATTTTATTATTTATACAATAAAGAGACTTTTATGTTATTCAAAACACTTTTTTAAATACTGAAAAAGTTGAGTACACCAAAGCCGAAAAATGGCTCTGCTGTACACTGCACAGCATCATTTTAGTCCCTGTATCTTGTATCTGTACAGAAAGCATCTTCAAAATGCATTCTAATCACACTGTACACCTTTACTGATTAGTGTCAATACAGAAAATCAAACTGGAGAATACAGCCTGCATTTGCAAAGTAACTGACAAAGTAATTAACTTCACTGATTCAGTAAATTTAAAATATAGATTCATAGGACTTCTTTGCACATAAAATGAAGCAGCTTTCAAGGTCGTTATGTTCTCATACTGCAAAAAAACCATTAAGTACATTCACAATCTATGTTAATAAAGTAGTAAATATGTCTTCATTCAGTTTTTATTTACATCAATATGTAGTTCAACTAAAAAGTACTGTTAATTGTGATACAGTAGTTTTTTAACACATACAAAAATGACAATTTTTTTATATATAATTTAAGCTCAAAATCACAATTATCTCAAAATATTAATTACAATACAGCCATTTCAATTAAACATGTCGTGATTTAATTTTTTTATAAAATGGTAAAATTTTTTATTAAAGTAAGCAATTTGTTTTGAATTGGCTAGAGTTCACCCAAGTAGAAAACCTTAAACGTTAAGAGGTGTTTCCTGCCCCCTCCCACCCGAATGTGTATACAGCCACCTAGGCTAGCAAAGAGACAGAAAAGGCCCCAATTTATAAAGATTAAGCCTCTTTTGCTATACTGCTGTGGCCTGTTGTTTCTTCCATAAAAGCTTTACAAGGGGAGTGTCAATAAACTATGCAGTGAAATGCATGCATTAATATACAATATGTCTATGTAAAATGTTAGTGTTTACTAGTGCACATTAGAATGTTCACAAAGACTGCAAAGGAAGTCATAAATAAAGAAGCACTTAGAAAGATCTACCAGTTGGAAATTGAAAACTACTTGATAATATAATGGAATTTCTTTGAAAACATCCCAATTCAAGTTCTTTCTCTGGCTAAAGGAGCTCTAGTTACTTGGCCTTAAGATGTCACTGTTGTGCTGCACATATGGTAGTGGAGTCAACCATCAAAAAGGAATATGAGTCCAGAGACAGCCTTCATTTTACTAAAATAGTGGCTTAATGTTGTATCACTGCTTAGGAATTGTTCTTAAGCTTACAGAAGAGTGAAATATTTCACTACCTGAATTATAACCTCACGTGAAAAATGGAAAATTTGCATGTGTGTGCATGTGTTTAGCATGTGGAAAAATATTAATATAAATAGGTGGAATTAGAACTTCTTTATACAATAAAACAAGGATTATGCCCCAACATAACTGAGTTCAAAAGTAACCAATTATCAAACAGTTTAGAATTGAAAGAATAATTTTTATGGATACTTAAAAACAAAAAAACCCTAAAAACATAGCATCTATTATCCTTTTGCTTAAAATTCTTAACAAACCAATTAAAAACCTATCACTGTCTTTGTTTAGAATTGCAGTTGTTAATTTAATATTTCTTTTCTGAATAGGAAGAGACCATAGTTCATGTTATGGTTTACTTATATACAGCTGGGTCGGGGGGGTGCCCTTGGGTGGTTATAAAGTGGGAAAAATGAAAGTACAGTACTTGCAAACCCTGCTTTTGCAAGATTATTTGTGGTAGTTTTTGAAACTTACGAACAGAATTCAGTAGATTTTTACCTCTGATTTTCAATGAGGAAAAAATTCCTCCTTCATATGAAGACAATGTCATTGTCCTTAAGCTTCCTTTAGTCCCTTCTATACACTGAGTACAAAGAGAAACTTGATTGGCTCTTGAGACAAAGTATCTGGTTTATCTATCAATTATCTTTCTCTTCATTTTAAACAGAAAATACTAAGGCTTGCATTTTCAAGGAGGAAAATGTAGTTGAGGATGTTAAGGGGAAATGCCTGAACATCATAAAGTGGTATTAAAACATTTATTGCATTCCATTGACACTAGGTGTCGTCAAAGCTAAAACCAGATTTCCTAGAGTAAAACTTAACATACAACATTCCTCACTGCCCTGAATGATGCCTGGTCCACATTCAAGACCAGTGAGTCCTCTGAGTGGAAAGATTCTACAAGTATTGAAAATAAAATTTAGTTCAGCACTACATTCTGAAAATAAACTACCATTCTAGCAAATATGGGAACTGCTTTATGTTCTGTCTGCCTGAGTTTCGTCTTGGTTTTCCTGTGGATTTTGCAAAAAATTACGTAAGATTTCCTGACTAAATAAGAGATGTTCTTTAGTAGAGTGGCGGGGAAAGGGAAGAGGGATGGAAAGATACAGAGGAATAGAATGTGATTTCTTTTGTCCGTTCATCAACTGCTTTCCTTAATCTAGCTATCATAAAGGTCAGGGGACCTGCACGCCTGGGCAGCATTTAACCTCCTTAATTTACCCGTGCGAAACAAGTGCACAAAGAAAAACACCTTTGTATGTGTGTCTATATACAGATGCAAAACCTGAGTCACAATAAAAAGTCTTTAATATAAGAAAACCTTTCTTAATGTAGGAAAATAACCTTTAAAGGGCCAAAAATATCTTTGTACAATATAATCAGCTAACTTTGAAACTTCAATGTACTTAACTATCACATATTTTATAAGACTCAACAAAAAAGGAATCATTTACATTTGATAATTCTCTTACCTTAGCTGAGATACCCACATTTTTATTTCTAACATGTATTTTTATTCCCCTGAATTCATTAACTTTTCTAAAAGAAAAATTAAAAGCACATTCACATACAAGAACTGTTTAATTTCTGATGAACAGTTCCTGCTTTTTCTAAATATTGAGGACATAGGAGATTTGGGGTTGCTAGGCATGTATATAACAATGCCAAGCCACAACGGAATTCTAAGAGTCAAAACAAAATATATAATCTATTAAGAGAAACATTACTTGGAAAAATATTTTGCAGATAGAGTTGGGCCAAAGTCTGCATGAAGCTACTCTCATTTGCAGGCTCCCTTTCTGCAGAGAGTTAACTCTAAAAAACTCCTTTCTCTATGCTCTGTTTCCTTAGCTTTCAGTAGGTTTCTTACCTTGAAGCCTGAATTGTTGCAATTGAAGTCTCTTGCTGACATTCAGCCACCAGTTACAATGTCCTCTTTACTTATCTACATCTTATTTCTCCCTCTTCAGGAGCTTAGTCCTCTGGGATGACTCCTTGGCCTCCCCTCATGTGCTGCTTAAGGGGTCATTAAGAGAAAAAGCTGTTGAAATGTCCCCACTGTTTTATCATTAGACACTGATTTAAGGCTCAGTTCAGGACATAACTTATCCCCTGGGCTGTATCATCTCACATGCATACTAAGGATATTTTATAGAAAAATGAGTGCAAGTTCCTTCTCCATGCTTCCCCCAGTTGGCCATTACCGTTAATTATGCATTTGTGTCAGTTAAGTCACTGATACTTGGAAGAAGCCATCTGAACCAAAAGGTTTGACCCTTGCACCTGCAGTTGGGTAGGAGGACCCTTTGCCTACTTGTATCAATAGGCGAAGGGATTCTGGGCAGTGTCCTTGAATGCTGTCTTTCCTCTCTGGGCTCAGTGGGCCCAGTTTGGGGATAGGTGGGAAATGCATGCAGTAGGGTAAGGGATTAGAGGCATTAGCCTAGGGAACTGTAGTCTGTCCCTGCCTTTTTGTGTGACACTTGCCTGAGGATCACTAGCAGGATTTTGTATTATGCAGAAGGCTAAAAGCAGAGTCACACTTTCTCTGCCAACAGACTTGTTACCATGGAAACCAATGCAGAAAAATGAAAATGTGACAAGAAGCTGAGGATTAAATGTGGAGAAAATTGATAGGGAGTTGCTTTCTACATGGCAATTTGAGCATTAGGGATTTAAAGAAACAGGATGTTCCTCGTGTGGCCAGGCCAATGAAAATGGACAGAATGACTTGCCGATAGCTGGTCCTGGAGGCTGAGATGTGGAGAATGCAGGGAGAAAGCAGTGAGCATGCTGTGCTTTGGATAAGAGGAACTCTGTAAAATCCACTTCCATCCTGGTGAGGTTGAACTCTTCAGCCCAAATGTTAAATTAACCATATGAACAAAGGTGCCCTTCCAAAGGCGTGTCTGTGCTCAGCTTGATAAATCAAAGCAGCCTGCTGGAAGAATTCTTTCTCACCTTTCCAAAGCCAGTCCACACTACCTGACAAAAGTATTGCATGCCTAGTATATTATTGCTTGACACATCTTCCCAAATATTTAAAAAACAAAAAGCCACAACTTTCAAATGTGCAGTCCCCCTCCCCCAACAAGGCAGCTGCTGTAAGTAACCTGGGATTTCAATGTTTTTCATTAAGGAAATAAGTATTTCACTTCACCTATACAAATCCTCCCTATGTACACTCCTCTGTCATTCTGGAGTTGATAATAAATTGATCAAAGCAGACTCTAGGATTCCAGGACACTCTACAACAAGGACTTGAAGTTACAGCCTAATCTACAAAAGCAGACCTACGCTCTGTACTTCAGAGGCTCCAGGGAGAGTGCCCCTGCCCTGTCCCCAAAACTTCCCGAAAGGCTGGTTTCTGAAATCCTATGATGAATGCCTCACTCCTGCGACCTCAGCCTTTGGCCCACATTTCAATGCAGTTGCCCTGAGGAGAGGCGCAAAGGTCAACTAGGGCTGGCTTGATTTGACGCTTCCTGGAGAGCGGGTTTTCAAGCAGTGGTGACACCCTTCACCTGACGCACCCTCCCAACAGGAATTAAAAACTAGAGACAACATCCCCCAGGAAGTGGGAGACCAGCTATTACTGGCTAGTTGTCTTTAGGGTACATCTAGCTGCAAATGGTCTGAATAAAATATGCTCCCTGGGCGGAAGTACACCAGACATAGATTTCACTAGAAATGCTTATTTCCTTCTCACTAGTGACTTGCTGTTCTATTTGTTAGAGTTCCTTACTGAATCATTTGACAGTCTCAACAATGAGTTCTTGCAATGCCAAAAGCCCCATTCATTTCTGTTTTCCCGAGAGTGCCTTACAGAGTTCTGAAATCCAATAAAATGCCTGAATTTTCTACCACTTGGCAGAATTGGGAGGCAAACGACAATAAACAGATTTGAGTACAGTTATCTTGCTTACGCTAAAATAATTTTTTAAATCAATATTCCAGCGAATCTCAGGATGGGAGACTTCTAGTGTTGGCTTCTGCAGGCAGGAAGCATTGGAACAACCTGCCGCAGGACTAATCTTTAACGCCGCGCGAAGCACTGCTTTAGAGTAAGGACAAGTGAGCCGATCTCTCTCTGAGACAGGCAAAGAACACAGAGTCGGGGGTTCGCGAGCAGTTATGCCTTTGAATTCGACAAATGATAAATAAGGGACCGTTTATTTTCCTTCCTGAGATGGTCTCTAAAATCAGGCAGCAGCTGCCTGGAGGAAGACTGGTCCGGATTAAAGTAGAGAACGATGAGCGTTTGCTGTGACGTGGTGCTGATTCTCTCACTGGTGGACCACACCTTGGACAGACTTGAGCTCCTCCAGGCTGGGAGGCCACCTGACACGACTGTGTTTAATAGTTTTACCACATCTCTTCATTCTTCAGACAAGAATTTAAAACTGTTATAACAAATCTCCTGATGTATTGAGAATTTAAATTTGACTCTGAATTTTTTAAATAATTTGGTTTCTCCTCTCAGTTTTTCTAAGGTTGAATAAGTGATTCTCTGCTATGTCATGTCCCTTAAAGAGGTGCAGACATAACTTTTACATAGTTTTCTCTAGCTCATCTGACAGTTCAGTATATAGTTCATGAAAGAACTGATCTTGCCAATATTAGGACATCTGTTGCTTTCAACAACTGCCGGTATTTGGAAATCAAAAATGCTGACTTATGAGTGGAATGATGACATCTGCAGAGTAGCCATAAGTCTGGAGATCTAATGTACGGCATGAGGACTGCAGTCAATAATATTGTATTGGATATTGGAAATTGGAAAAGGAGGAGATTTCAGGTGCTCTCACCATTAACAAAAGAAAGGTAACTGTGTGAGGAGATGAGATGTTAATTAGCTTGACCGTAGTAATCATTTCACTATGTATTTATATAGCAAATCATCATGTACACCTGAAGTATATACAATTTTTATTAACATAAAAAACAAACAAAAAAAACAGGGGCATCATACTGCATGGCTGTTCTTTCTGAATTAAGGTGAGGTGTTAAATAAATAAATAGTTCAGTTTTACAGTGCAAAAAAAAAAAAAGCTTTGTCACGTTGGCCACTGAATAGCCATAGATACCGGGCTGTGTCCGATACCTTCAACCTTGATCTCCAGCAATATGCCCAAAGTGGTTCTTGAGGGTCGAGCCCTCTGATTAACCATTTAAGAAGCTCAATCTCATTTTCAAACATAAGTATGCTGCACCATCCGCCGCAAATGGTCTTAATAAACTCACATTGTCTACACTGATGCACAGATACCGAATTGCTCCCAGGTAAAACCCACCACTTTATCACCAAATGGCAGCTAACTTTCCAGACCATGTTTGAACTCAGATACTTTCTGAACCCACCTTTATCGTACGGTGGCTGTCCTACCTCTAGGCTAGTCCCAACCCAAGTGAAATAATCCTTGAGGTTAACCTCAAGGAGCAAACAAAAATGCTGGGATTTTGTTGGATGTTAAACCATTTCCGCTATTTCTCTTGCCAGTGTAATTTCTGAAGGGATTCTTCCCTCAGAAGAACTTGTGGGAATTTAGATGGCTACCACTTCTCAGCGCTGAGAGATGGCGCCAGGGCAGCTGAAATCGTGAACGTTGGGTGGCCCTGGAGGGAAGAGCCTGGAGCCAGGGCACACAGGCAGTTCAGCTGTCCATGTAATGGCATCGTGGGACTTGGTCTGTATCTGCAGAGTTCCAGGCACTCTTTTATTTCCTAGAAAATTTTATCATAGGTGCGGTTCAAGTGGCGTTTCTTACTGAACTGTAACAGGTTGGGCTCTGTTCTCAAACACAAAGCATCCCGGATGGCGGGGTGTTTGCTCACAGTAAGGAGTGCCATCTTTTCCTTGTATGAGGGTGCATGGTAAGTATTTAGAAGATGCAAGGCCACCAGAAGCATGTATACTTTTCTTAGGTGTTTAAAATACAATGAATTGTTTTAAAGCAAAGATTTCAAAAGATACTAAAGAGAAAGTGTTCTGTTGTATCCTTCCCTCAGATGGATCTCTTCAAGGGGAACAGCAGGCCTCTGTTATCAAGCTTCAGTGCCCTCCCTGAGGAAGGAGGAGCTGCCCTGGATTCCTGCAGCCCCTCTGACTGTGATCCCTAAGGCGCAACCCCTTGAGGACAAAGCCAAGTGAGAGTGGGAGCGAGAGCTTAGCCAGGCTGGCGACTGTCCCTCCCTGATAACGCTTCATCCAGGATGAGGCGGCAGTTGTCTGCATCCCACTGTCACCTGAGACTTTGTCCTTTTTGGAAAAGAACATATATGAGGGACAGGAGCCTGCTTCCTGAGGGAATAGAAAAAGATTCCTCATCCATGTTATGAAGACAATAAAGCTAGGAGGAAGCATCGCCATTTTATTAGACTGGGGGGGAAAGAGAGAATGCACTGCTCTCTGACCTCCCCTCCTATTTTGTGCCTACGCAGCAGCATTTATGAGACTTTTCATGTGTCTGTCTCCCCATAGACTTTGTTTCTTGAGGGGAGGGAACATGGGTTATTTATATTTCTATCTCCCATTGTTCTCAAAACCTTTTGGTCACTAACATTTATTGATTAAGTTGAATGTACAGCAAGAAAAAGATAAATTATTTTAATCACTGATAATTTTGTTTTAAAGGATAAACACATGGATTGGCTAGAGGCCAAATCTTAGCATGGTCCATGGGCAGACTTAGGAGACAATTACTTAGACACCTCTCTGACCTACATCTGCTCAAACCTACATGCAGGCCTGGGTGAATACTGCTCTTCAAATGAGCACATGTTCTTGTGGGGGTGGCTGCACATGCTGGAGATATTTATGAAACATTTAAAAAAGAAAAGAAGACACAGTCCTTTACCTTTGAGCAGTTTTGATGGTGTAGGTCCCTAGATCACAGGGATAGTAACTGTCCTTTTGGGAAATATGTGAAAACCTAAAAAAAAAGTGCCCGATATTCTATTGTGTGTGAGAGAGAGAGAGAGAGAGTCCCGAGTTTGACTTTCTCTGGGAAATGGTCACAAACACAGATCTGTAATGTTTGCTAGCAACATTCATGGTTTTATAAAGAACATATCAGAGTGGTGGCCTGCCGGAGACTCTGTCTTGACCATAATGAGACTGTGTGATTCTATCAAGTGCGAAATACTGACCAGTTGAACACCACCACAAGTATGGCTGCAGAATTATGTCCAAAGACTGGCTATCAAAGATGGGTAGATTAAAACAAACAGAAGGACAGCAGTGAAAGACAAGTGTTACAAGTCAGGAATGGTTTGTATGACGATACAACAGAGGAAAAATCAAATGTGGAGAACGAGATTTGCCCGCTACCTAACTACCCTTCTTTTCCTCAGGGGAGTTCTGGCTTAGCAAACACCCACAGAAGTCAGAGGAGTCTTGAGTATGACTATCATTCACTCATCTTGCAAGGAGGTGACATAATTGGACAATCAGCATCCTGGTGGGAGAGGGGAGGCATGCAAGGAGTGTTTGAAAGGGTCCAGGACTTTAAGTACCAGTTCCTCGCTGCTTGCTTCTCCTCCCAGCTGCTTAGGGCCCCACACCACCCCAACCGAGTTGTCCTCCCATCTGTTGTACCTAAAAGCAGAGCTTCCCAACCTCTTCACATCACAGCACGGAGAGAAGATGATCATGTTATTCTGCATAATGGGGTACAGGTGGGTAAAACAGAGACGGTCCCTCCAGGCCCCAAGTGAAAGCAATAAGCCACAAGCCCCGTGCTTTGAGGGGATCAACATCGCAGTCCCCGGCGGAGCTTAGCTGGCTGCTGGATAGGAAGCACTGACCTAGAGATTGCTCCCAGGATTACAAAATTAAGATTCTTCACATATGACAAAAAAAAAAAAAAACACTTTAGGTAACAGCTGATACCAAAAGTCTAGAGGTAGCACAGTACCACCAGCATTAACAAAACAAAACGAAACCAAACCTCTATTGGAGTACATAAATAGCTTTCAAGTCGGTTTTCTCATCATTCTCAGTCCAAATTCTTCCTAATTTTTATTCTAATATTTACTTCCAGATTCTGCAACTCAACCTATACTGAAAAGCCTATGGAAGTCTGAGAAGGAATGAAAAAGACAATGAAATAGAATATAAGGCAAGTGAAAAAGCCAAAAGCTGTATTCAAGAGAAGGAAACTGGTGGACACCTCCTGTATGGGCCTTAAAATGTGTGGCCACATTGTGTACAATTTAAGTTTGTTCAGCAGATTTTTGTCTCCCCAGAAAAGAGAGGAAGCACATCCAAGATGGCGCACTAAAATCGGCCAGCTCGAGATCATAAAGAAGTTGCAAAACACCAACCCAAAGAAGGGTGAACGAATTTGCTAAGAAAGAGCACAACTATATTAGTAGCTGGTGCTCATGTGGCCAGAGAGGATTGATGTGGAGGAAAACATGAGAGGATTTAACTAGTTTTACATAGACTTCGGGAAAGAACATCTTGTTTTCCTTCTACTTTTGCTTGGGGTTGGAAGAAAGGGTGATGACGCAGTGGGCAGAGAAACACCATGAACCCAGAAATAAGTAGGACTTTGGTGGAACTGGCACAGGAGCGGCCCAAACAAGGGTGCTGGCCAAGCTTGGACGGTTGGGGACATAATTAGCTTAGAAGAAATAAACAGAAACATTTGGCTTTTTAAACAATGATCCAGCTATTAGAGCTAGCCCTGAAGTTCCAAACTTAAGACCCAAAATAGCTTGAGGACACATGTCACTGAAGCTGCCAGAGGCTCTGAGCCTTCAACATGCGGACATTCGGAGAGAAGAGAGGCTGCAGGAGCCTGTAAACCATCCCTTGAATCCGATTATCACTTTATAAGATATATTTTGAAGTACATTCCTTATTCATTTTATAATAAAGTAAAATCTGATTAATAATATGTCAATTACTTGCACACACAGATAAAATTAAAAATTAGTTTATACTATATGCCCAGTTACTGTCAGATATCAGTTGGAAATAAAGCCATACACAGATGCGCACATCTTCAGACTGGACTAGTGTTAGAGTAATAGAAAGAACCCTGTGCCAGGCACACTTCCTTCCCCATGTTTAAGTTTCGGAGAGCTCATTTAAAAAAATATATGTTAAATAATTTGTAGCAAATATCTTGCCACATATTTGGAATGAGAATATCTGAAGGAAGCTTGGTTAAAATAATGGCAGAGAGTCACAAAATATTTGGAAAACACAAGCAAGTAGAGAAGAACTATTAAACTGGTGGATGTAATAATTCAACTGAACAACTGGGAACGTCAACACTTTCAATCACACGTTCACCTGAGGCTTAGGGAGAGTGGAGTGTCTCTCTCTCTCTCTCTCTCTCTCTGTTCCTCTCCCTTTCTCTCTCTGACTGGGTCCTGGGGTGGTTGATACAACCTGAGAGGTTTAGTCAGAAAATACAGAAAGTGCTTAAAATAAGCTCAAAGCTCTTAATTTTTTTCTTACATTGTTTAAATTTAGAGCATTGTTTCAAATTAATTCTCTCAAAAGAGTATGGAAAGGTTTGTTAATAGTTTTATCAACAATTTATTAGCAGTTATTTATTAACAGCTGTATCAGCACAACAGGTATAAAATGGACTGTCCAAAGTGTGGTCATCCAAGACAGAGAATTGCCAAGACTCGTTTGGAAAATAGAGACACGTGCGCTCCATCTAGTGGTGGCTCTTCCTAACTGCAGACATGTTCCAGTAAAGAGTGTGATCTGTCCCACTGTGTATCAAAATGTACGTGTCAGACCCAACCCAGTGAGTCCAACAGAGGGTCTTACTGGGATGAAACACGTGATTTGTTGCTTTATGAGGGTGGGTTACTGAGGGAAGTGGTAGCCTCTTCTCTGAAGGAATTTAAAAGTAGCATCAAGTCTTCCCCAGAGGTAGACAGATGAAATAGATCCTCTCAAGGTCCTTTTCCGTCGGATGATAGAACGATACTTTTCCTCACTTCCCCACAGAACTTGTACCTATGACTATACTGTTTGAGATTGGCCTTTATTTCAGAAAAGTGCTCCGGTAGTTTTTTTGTGTGACATAACTTTTAGTGACTTTCCTAAGTTGCGTGACTAAAAAATTACTCACTACATTACAAAAATAGTTTCTAGAAATAAATAACAATTAAATGAAGTATGTTTCTAATATATGCCTTATTTTTCATTTTGAATTCTTCTTTCTACTTTGGAAAAGCAGAAGGGAGGCCAGTAAACCACGAGGACCTGAGAGATCTCTCTTCTGGTCGGGGGGGTGGGGGGGGGTGACCCACAGCCGCCTGGTCTCCCGGCGACGGGAGGCTGTGCCTGAATCTGAGTCTGGTTTCTGCCAGCCAGTTTGTTCTTCTTTGTCTGGTCCTCTTTATCCATCCTTTATCTCCCTTCTTCTCCCTTCTCATTCTTACTCCCTAAATAACTTATGAATTTCTCTCCTCACCCAGACCTCAAGACTGTCCTCCTCTTCCTCACTATTCTGAAATCATCTTACTTAAAATACTTAAAGTGCTCTGACTATTCTAAAATATAGATACCCACTTACTACTCTAAAATAAAGTTACTTGCTCAATTAATATTTGATTTTCCACTTTTACTTCACTTTTGTTCAAACAGACACTGGCATGTCTTTTCCTCATGGAAATACGTACAGACTGGGCTGTAAGATCAAAGTGTAGGCCTCTGGAGAGCTTGAGGCACCAGACTATTGAGGAAAATGATGGAAGTTTCTTTCAAAGTACATTTATGGCTTCTAGATTAAAAAAAAGTTCACGAAAAGAAGCCCTAGTCTGCCAGTTAGCAAGTTCTCCTCGTATGAAGAGGAGACAGCAAGTTCTCTTCACACAAAGAAATTAAAAGGTGGGGGCAGATGGAGTAATCAGTATTATTAGTATAAGCAAAAGAGTGGATGAGAAATGGATTTTATGTTTGGGAATATTTCACTCAATTCTGTAGTCAATTATCAATGAAACCTGAATAGAACAATATGGGAAATATTTTTGAGAGAAAGCTAAGAAAGAAATGCTTTGCTTGCAGGAAAGCAAGATCCCATGAGGTGATAGAGGAGCTGTGGTCAGGAGCTCACCCACCCAGGGCTCTCCCCACTAGAAACTGTTTTTCTTTTCAGGGGCTGAACTCCATCTTTTCGCCCCTACAAGGGAAGGCTCTAATGAAGCCAGTGCCAATGGCAGTATAAACAGCCTTCTTTCTGCTTTGAGATCAGCAGGCCAGGTTCTGACCGCTATGAGAGTTTGGCAGGGGGCATGTGGTCTTACGAAGGTAACCCAGGTTTTCTGTGATCGATCTAAATACTTAGCCGTGTTAATTCCAAAGCTTTGCAGTGGTGTGAGAATTCTGGCTGGGAGATATGGCATTTTCACTTTAGGGATGCAGGTAGTAGAATCTGTCCATGAAATGATGCCAAAATGTAGTGTGTAGACATTGTCGTGCTGAATGATAGCCAAAGGCCTGTGGACAGGTCTTTCTTTAGTCTGGAACAGGCAGCATGCGGCAGCAGTTCCACTAAATTTTAGAGCTAAAATAGGCTTGGGGACTCCCTCTTCCCAACTACCTTTCTTTGGCCCCATCCCTGTCACAGCTCCCTTCACTATTCCCCACACCTCCAAATTTTGAGAATAGCTTGGGTAAAGTCATTTACCAGATCACAACGCACCTAAGGTAGAAGAACCTTAAAAAGGGGTTGGAAATAGATCCAACCATGTCCTTTTGTCTCCTTAGTTCACAGTCACTTCCCCTCTCCAACCGCGGGCCTCTGGCTTCATTACCTCCAGGACACCTGTAAGACCAGAGCCTGGCTCTGTGAGTTCAACCTCAAGCATTCATTTCTCTGAGAGATTGCAGACATCTACGTGTGTGACTTCTGCCAAGAAGAGAAATAAAACCCAAACCAATCAAAAGGATGGATATGATGTCCTCCAATTAAATGAACAAAAGCCACTACTTAGCCTTTTTGGACAGTGTTAAGGTCCTTAGCACACAAAAGGGAAGTTAAACACCACTGCTGAAACAGCATAAGAGCCTAAAAGATCTTAAAAGAAATGCTGAGGAGGGGAGGAGGATTGGATTAAAAGAGAGAATTAAAAAAGCAAAACAAAACTAGAAATGGTGAATAAACTGAGAAAGTAAAAGGTTCATGGTTTAAGATTATGCAAATTGAATATCAACTTCCTGTTTAATTCAATATTTATTAAGTGTGTTTATGTGCCAGACCTGTCACCCACTTAATCACTGTACAAATATTTATTGAGCACCTATGATAATCTGACACTGTGACAGGCACTGAGGCTACATGGTAAGCAAACCAGACACGCCCTCTGGAAGCTCTTCTGTCCAGAGTGCCTCTTTAAAGCATTGTCTGATCCTCTCAAGGAGCATGCAGTTGATAGGAGAGAAAGAACACATACCAAATAGCTATGGCCTCAGGTGGAATGTGACACGTACTATAAAACATACAAAAAGTTAATATGATGGTATTAGTGTGAGGAAGAGAAATTTCTCCCAATCAAGATTAGGGAAAGTTTCTTGGTGGGGGTGATGTTTGAGCTGGACCCTGGAGGCTGCATATGATTTTGATAATTTAGACAGGAAGACATTCCAGTAGAGGGAGCGGTGTGGGCAAAGGCTGAGATGGAGAAGCACAGCGAGGGCTTGGGGAGAGGGAAGGATTTCTAGGATCTAACACGCTGAGGACGCATAGACAGGGTGAAGAGAAAACAAGCAATTCCCAGCTTCAGAGGATCAAGCGTGGAAGGAGAAGTAGAAGTCTCTGATAGGTGAGTATGTGTGATCCAACCTCGCGCAAACAGGATTTCCATGGGAAGGGCTGAACAGCAGGCAGTGAAAATGCTCTTCATTCCACTGAAGGAAGTGAAGTAGATCAACATGAAGTGCAGCCGGCTGAATGAACACTCAGCTCATCGCACTGCTGGTGGGTCGTTCTAATATTGGATCCTATGCACTCCCATGCTCCCGACAGTCTACGAGAGGCAGCGGTCACGGGAGGGACCCTTTGGGGACATTCAACATAGAAGAATCTCTTCAATCAAACACCCATGCCTTTTAAAGTGCCGACTTCCATCTCTTCCCCCATCATGTCAGCGGCACACAGACACAGTGCTGGGCCAAGGTGATGGGCACCATTTTTTATTATATTCTCTCTCTTCTTTAGAACAAACTGGAAAAATTCCCTTCTCCACTCTTGCCACTTCTGCCCTATCAAATGCTGCCCTAAATCCTGGCAAACGTTCCTATTGGCCTCCCAAAGGCCAGAGGAGGCAGTAGGGGGAACTATCTGTACCTCTAAACGCGAACTACCTCTGAACTATCTAAACCTCAGTGCTCAAACCCAAAGAGATTTGACTAAAGATGCTGCTTCCTCTTGCAAGACACAGGCTGAGGCCAGGGACACAGGGACTCACCACAGTGCCTTGGACTGTCCTTCATCTGGAAGTTCTCCATCTTTCTTTCCACTTGATGGTGAGACTCTGTACAAAGGAGACCATGTTCCATCCCTTGCAGTGCCTGGTAGATAGCTGATGCTCAACAAGTATTTATAAACATTGCATTTAATGTTTTTGTAATAGTCTTCAATAAGATGTCCCAAATGTTTTGAATTTATGAATGACATACCTTAGGCATCTGAGATTCAGCTACAGTCACTGTTTTCCTGCAGAGGAAATATGGAGTTTGCGATAAAAATAAAAGTCTCGCTACTAAGATATTTTACTCTAGGTATAGAGATGCCTAAGCATTAGCAGGCTGCTTCCTCATCATGTTATTTTAAAGAAGGAAAAAACCTGGCAGAAATGATACAACTGTGCAACAGTGATAGTTTTTAGAAAAAATACATATACTTTCAAAACTAAAGATTGGATAACTCATTTAACTTTTTTTCTCAGCACGCATTCCTACACACATTGAAAATTACACTAGCTTAAAGAATGAAAATAAAAGAGAGCCTTTTTTTTTTTGAAGGAGAAAAGAAATTCTACTAGGTTTGAAAATCACACCTGTGGAAATCTGAGCCTGGCTTTTTTTCTGGGTCAGGCCAGACTAACAAGAGTCACAGGATTTCAGAGCGTTCTACGTAAACACTGCCTGAATTTCATAACTTTCCACTCTTTGAGGTGCTGCTATTAACAAAATGAGGCCAAAAAAAAAAAAAAAGAAGTGTTTTGCAGCCCAGGATGGTTTGGGGAGATACTGGTGTAGCTGCAGAGACATCCTTCTCTTCTGGGCCTGCCTCCCATCCAGGCCCGCTTCTCTCGCTTACTGCTCGATGGGTTGTTACAAAGCGCGAGCCTTCTGTCCTGCAGCGGAACCCCACTGCGGGAGCTCTACCGACGAAGGAGTGCTTCTAAGGTGGACAGGGAATTCCTCTCTCTGTTGTCCTCTCTTTACTTCCCAGAGATCTGCTCTCAGGGAAGATTATGACAACCACATAGTAAAAAAGCCCAGGGGATTCAATATGCCTAGATTTTCATTTACTCTTTTTAATCAAAACTTAGAGTGGACTTTTCCCCTCCATTTATCAGACAGCTCTGAATTCTCCAAAGTAGAAGCCTTGCAATTTATGCCCTCACAGGGGGGTGTTTCCAGACCATTCTCCTGCAGACAGTGTCAAAGGTAAGAAGACTGGAACCTGTCCCAGTAAAAATCAGCTGGGAGGCCCAGAGAGGGTCCTCCATAAGGTAAAATTCAACATTTTAAAAACAGAAGTGGGAACACGGGTCTCAACGCATCGCCACCTGCCCCCTTGTGCACAAGCTGTGTTTCTGCTGTCAGGGACATGGATAAGTGATCCACTTTTGAGCCTTGGTTAATGCTACTACTCCAGCTTCCTTCATCACCAAAGAAAGTTCCTACCAAACTGGAAGCTGGAACCATCAGTTGATACTCAAGGGTCTCCAAACACTTAGAACTCTAGGGGGCCTCTTATCCTGTGTCGGCAGGACAGAAGCGGCCGTCCGCCGCCTTCGGAACATCAAGGGGAGTTGGCGGGATGGATCTATAGCAGCAACAGCAGCAACGGAGAAAGGTCAGCTTTACAGAGAGAAACAGAAATGCCCCCAGAAGCTTCAGAATATAACTAGAAAACCTGATTGCATGTGCCTTAGTTTTGTATGGTGGGGTGTTTTGGAAAAATACATTCTCTGAATAGTTTAGATCAAATGAAGCTGAAAGGATGCATAAAAGAGCCGATGCCCGGGATCTCCTCTAATATTACCCCACATGATTTCTATAGTGCGCATCTGTTTTTCCACAGCCCACATTCTCTTTTCTTGCTACAATGTATACTTGCGGGATGGTCTTGCTGCCATGGGGAAATATTCTGGGCCAAGGCAGGATGCTTTCCTTAGTGGAAGGCAATTGTACTGCTAAGGAAAAAAGTTCATGCAAGTGATCTCAAATCTGAAGATTTCCCCCCAATTCCCAGATGATCAGGGAACTACAAACATAAGAGAGGGCACATCACCAGCCCAGTGTTTGAACATTTTATTAAGCTTCAGAAAGATTTAGCATTTCTGTGAGAGGAACGTGACTGGACCCTCAGCCCTGCTTTACTTGATGCGAGATAAAGGACTCATCTTCGTAATGTACTAGATTTCATTATTTGCATAACTTTTTACTGACCCAGCGTTTCAGTAAACCTGCTGTTGGGTCAGTATATCAGGAATCAGTCAAACATGTTGTCTGATTGAATTTACCAAAGATTTAGAGTGGTCATTTTATACCAACATGGCTTTTTATCTGGTGATGTTGTGTTGTTGCCTGTTGATAAGAGTGTTTCATCAGAATAGTCATTCTTGATCTGCGCGCCAGTGAGGGGCAGACACTGTGGGGGCTGCAAGAAAAGCCAAGGGAAAGACAAGTTGGCAAACACTGTGTTTTCCAAAGCTTTCAATTGTGGTGGAGATATTAAATAGATTTTATGGTTAAAAGTAAAATGTTTTTCTGGCTTCCTTCCTCCAATCATTTTGGAAAAATTCAGATACTTTTCACTTAGCATTTGCATGCATAAATCTAATTTTCCCACCATTTTCCTCCCTCTGAATATTCTCTCTCTTTAGCTCACATGGTAAAAGATATTTGTCTTACTTTTAAATCATCTTTAAGATGATCTTTAAATTTTCACCTTTAAGATTAAAAACAAATTAATGCTGACTTGTCATGCCCTCTTTGAAGCTGCTTTCCATCCTAAGGATGGTAATCCAACATACGGCTGAGAAACAACCAGGCTTGTTTGATGTCTCTGTAATTACAGTCCTAATTAATTGGGACACATATATTTTATAGGTTTCAATGTGCAATAAATTAGCAGGATGTAAATATTTGCATTTCATACTGACTTTGAGTATTCCTTGTCAAAAGTACACTTATATTTTGAAATTAATTACTATGTTTATTTAGATGACGTTGTCTGGAAGGCTGGAATTATCATAAGAGAGCTTTTGTGACAATATATTATAAGCTGTGTAAATAGTTTTAAAAATTATCCGCTAATGTCTATTTGGTTTGCAAAATCTGCAGCAAATCTACTAAGAATTTTCAGTGCTTGTTCCTTCCACCTCTGATCTTTCTCATTCCCCTCCACCGTGTCTTACTGATCCACCAGATTTGACACCTTCCTCAGCAGAAAGATTCCCCCAAAAATCAAAGACCAAGAGGTGAGTCTATTGCAGTCATGATGAACTCCACTCCTTTTTTGTTGTTGTTGATTTTCCTTTCTTTGAAAGGCACACTCTTTTTTGTTGTGGCTAACATAAACCAGACTCTATTTTCAGGCAGCAAAACCAGTTACTGCAAAAAAGTCAATACTCAAAAACTAATGTATGATTGGTTTTGGTTACCTATGGAATCAATTATATTTTTTCCCCCTCAAGTGATTACTGATTTTATTTAGTCAACCTGAGAAAAGTGCCTCTTTTCATGATTCCCTGCCTTTTCTCAGTATGCAGCATGGCAGTACAATTGACCATGAGGTGCTTTGGCTCATCAGATTTCTTTTCCAGTTGGTCAGTGATCCCTTTTCTCTTTTCCTCACTCTCTGCAGTACAGGAAGGATTAAAGCATTGGCCCAAGACAATGTCATCAGATCAGGAGTGTAGAGGTGTTTACTAGAATCAAGGTCCTCTCAGCTTTGTGTCTCAGAAGCTTCTCCTGAAGCCCTGGGTTTGATGTGGAAGCCTGACAGAAGAAAAAAGACTTGGGAAATCCTACACCCGGCTCTTCTCTCACCTCTCCCGTGACAGGTTAACACACTGATGGGATGATTTGAGATGCTTCCTTGCCACCAAACTACACCCACACGTTTCCTTTTCCTTTAAGCGATCTTGTGAGGCCAGTGAGGGCCTCTGTCTTGATGAATGATGATCATCCTACAATCGTGGCTGGATACAGTGGCTTGGTGTGAGTTTTTGACAAAGAAAATTAGGCTCTGAAAGACACTTCTCATCAGAAACTGTCAATATATTAAAATGCATCTAAAAGTTACTTCTGGGAAACATATTAAATAGGCCAATCATTTAATCATTTGCTAAATGTCAAACCCTATAAAATCATGGTATAATGTCACCCTGACATAAAGCAACATCAAAATTAGTGCATCATCTATAAGGTGAAGTATCATTTGCCTTCAAGCGACAAATTCTATTGCCAAAAAATACCACTGTACTTCTAATAAGTGACACTCATTTTAATAGACCCTACAAAAATACAATATTTTAAATGTCCCCATAAAACAGTTAACATACAAATATTACTCTCAGAGCTTTGGTGACATCAGTATGTGATACCACGGTGGAAATCCTAATAGAACACTTGAAACACTAGCATGTAAAGTAAATTCATTCTATATTTTTTTTAAAAAAAAGCTATGTGGAAATAGGAGAGAGAATGCATACAACTAACTCTGGGAAATCATTCTGGAATTTCAAATTAGTATTTTAATCAAATTAATGATTAATATATAAAAGAAATATTTTTAAAGGATTATAAAATGAATTTTGATCATTTATAGAGGAAAACAACTCCAGTGTAAAAATAACTAATTCCTATATTAACTATGTTTGTCTTTCTCTCTGGTGAGACAGAATTCAGGATTTTATATACTTTGAAACTTTTTTGGAAAAAAAGTATTTTCTATAGTTCTGCCCACAAAGACAGGCACTGAAATTAATAATACAGTAGACCATAGCTCTGAGAAATTATATTTGAAGTGTTGTATTTAAATACCAAAGTTTTTTTAATCACCCATCATAACTTTCTAACAGTCCTTAATGATAAATTTTATCAATCCTCAAAACTTGTTTTAAATGATTTAAAAGTAGCAAATTAGATAAAGCAACACACAAATAAATCCTACATTTACAAGTAAAGAAATCACAGAGGCTACAGTTTACAATCAAAATAAACTTGAAAGAAATAAAGCAATACCTTCCTGCCACCCATCATTCACTGCTTAAATTTGTGGTGAAAAAGATTCATCTGCAATGACCTCTAGTCTGTTTCTTACCTCTGCATGTATTGTAATCAACTAAAGGCATTGAGCAAATTAGTTTGTCCTCTTTTTATTCAGGTCCCAGAGACAAATGGCTAATTTATGAAATATTTCACTCTGTCTTATGAGAATTTAGCAAATGAATATGGAACCAAATATAAACACTTTATACCATATGTACAGTTACTTTCATAAGGCATTATCATGTAATTTTTATTGAAAAAGATTCAATATAGTAAAGTCTTATTTTAAGATATATTTTCTTTCTCAATCCGAGATGTTTAGTTTATGAAAATATTGTTTTTCTCTATATTCTTTTTGTATATATGCCAACATATACCTTGTGCTAGAAATATTTTATGGGAATTACAATTCTTTATACTTGTATTTTCTATATAAAGGCATATACAACTTTGAGGCAGTGTTTCTGATGGAGAGCAGAATTCGTAAAGAGCTTGTGTGTGCTTCCGTGCTCCGAAATTATATGAAATCCACTTCGAGAAGAAACTTATTTGATTAAAACAAAAACAAAAACAAAAACAAAACTGCACCAATGCACAGCCAGAGGCTGACAATTAAAACTAATACATAACCACATGAACGTCATATTTATATAGTTAACATTTTTAAGGAGGATCAGTGCTAACATATAGTATTATACATTTGGCACTAATGTTTGCCATTGGTCCAGCAATTGGCAAAATTTGTTTCTATGTATAAATTTATTTTTGAACATTAGGTCTGGCTAGAGTATCTTCACTATTTATAAAAAATATTTAGACAGTAAGCTCACGTTGAATAACTAGGTCTACGGTGTTCTGGAAACTCTTCAGTAGTAATACAGCTTTTTCGTGTTCCATATGTACAAAACTATGTCCATTTGCCTGTAAACACACAAACAAAAGAGGGAAATCAATGCAAGATACTTGTTTATCACTTTATCATCGTTTCTAATCATAAAATTCAAGCAGGTATTGAGCACCAAAAGTTATTGATTTTTAAAATTCGCAACAGAATTGCAACTATGGAAACAACTAATTAATTTCACTCAGCTCCAACTCAATTTATTAACTCAACAAATATTTCTCAAGAATCTAAAGTGCCCTACCTGAGACTGTCCTAGTACAGTCCTAGTCACTGTGCTAACCGTAGACACACACTGGCGAATAACAGACGGACGCCCTTGAAATATGGTCGTTCAGTTTGGTTGTTGTTCTGATTTGTTTTGTTTTTGCAGGAACTGAGTTGAGACAGTTTGGAAGTGTCCAAAGGACCATTGCCTTCTTGTGATATAATCACTGATGTAAACTCATTAGTACCATCAAATATTTCACTCATGCAAAATACGACTGGGCATTTACCGTATGGTTCAATCTTATTTTGACTCATTGAAACGTTCTCAGCTTATATATTTTTATGTTAAAGAGATCATTCTTATTTCCCACGTTGCTAAATGCAAGTATGTTCATTATTTATACCAGTGGTTCTCAATCCCATCCAATATACCTAAGAGGTCAATCCCTCAGGGGTAAAGCACACTGACATTAGTATCAGTGGACATGCCCACATCTCCTACTTGAGAATCATCAATCTATGTAATCAAAATTCATTTGAAACACAAATAGCCTAAGGTTACACTTTCAGGATTCCAACTAGCTATTTGATATTTATGTCACAAAATGTACAGTGTTCCCCTTTATCCACAGTTTCATTTCTGGGGTTTCAGTTGCCCACAGTCCGAAAATATTAAGTGGAAAATTTCAGAAATATACCATTCATAAGTTTTGAATCTTTTGCCCTTCTGAGTAGCATGATGAAATCTCCTGTGGTCCTGCTCTGTCCCACCTGGGACGTGAATCATCCCTTTGCCCAGTGTATCCACGCTGTATAAGCGACTACCCATTAGCCCTAGTTAGGAAAAAATATAATAAACATAGGGTTCGGTACTATTTGTGGTTTCAGGCATCCATTGGGGGGCTTGGAACACAGCTCCTGCAGTAAGGGGGGACCACTGTACATGCTTTTCTGAAGTGAATGCTCATGATTCTTTGGTTTTCTCCACAGTACCTTGCAGATTTTCTTCATTGGAATAATTTTTATTATTAATATATAGAGAAGTGGATCCCATAAAGCTTCACTGTCATGAAGGCCGAAATAAAACACAACCTAATTGAAACTTGGTAGCAATAAATCTGGGAAACTCAATGACTGACAGTCATGTCACTGTTTTCCTTGTAGTCTGAGACTCTGATGATTTACACGAATCAGCCAAATTGACTGCTTGGCAAAGTACAGGTTATAGAGCCAGTTAATTGGTTGACTTGTTCAATTTTCAGTTGACTGAGTCTAATCTCGGGCACCCATTGCCTTTATTGCTTTACTTTTTTTTATGCTTTCTTGAAATATGATTAATATTTCAAATAACTACTCACTTAAGATATTTCACAGCCTTTGGCTTTTTTGAATTTAAAATAGCAGTACATGTCTAGTGATACTGTATAATCTCTATAACTTAGATAAAAGTTATCTGACACATTGTATTTTATCACTAGTTCATTAAAAGTGGTGGGCTAATGATGTGTTGAAGGAGCTCCTAAAATGCTGCATTTTTAACCACAGTACGCCTATGAATAAAGAAAATACTAGGAAACAAATATGTTAACCTGTGAAAACCCAAATAATTAGAAGTACAAATTTGTTTGAATCAGAGAATCTCTCTCTCTCTCTATAAATATACACATAGTCTTTAATAACATTTAATTAATGGAAATGCCTATCACAGTTGGCATTGGTTGTTTCAGTGGCAGAAATGGTAGCTGAATAGAACTTTGGGTTTATTACACAGCCCAATTTCTTGCTTTAAATTATTGTAGAAACCAGACAACTGGGTTCCACTTGATGTTATTTCTGGTCAGATGGTGACAAGGAATAGAGAAGATAGCATATGGTACATTCTTCTTTTCACTCTCATCCTGTTTCTGACATCAGGAAAATAGCAAACTTGGGTGAAGTATATGCTTATTCCACTTTAGTTTTGAAGGTTTTACTAAACCTTAATGCCTTCAATTTGACCAAAAGTCATACCTGAATTGTGAAATTAAAATGTAACTTCAATAATGGAGTACTTGAATGTCAAATGTTAATAATACCTTTGTGAGTACTCAGATTTATCTATCTGCAGACTCAAAACCTAGAATTGTAATGAACTCAAAACCCACTGAGAATTTTCAGGGACTTGCTCAAAATTAAATACCCCAGTGTTTCAGGGATAAGGAATGCTCTAGGATTTGGACACCACGAATGGTATATTGTCCATCACCAGACCCAACCGTTCCCGGTTTTAGGAACTACTGGTCTCAAAATAATATCAGCATTAAGGCTATAAGTGGTACAAAATCCAGAGAGCAAATTAATCATTGTTTTCAGTTTTGAGTGGTACTTATATCAAAAGATCTTCAAAGAAGGTTGGTCCACTTCCACCGTGATTAGTTTTTTCATCTTCTCAATTAAAAATGTCTGTTGCGTGCTGACTGTGTCCAGGGTATTGTGCCAGGCACTGGGGATAGGAAGTAAGAAAGAGATGAGACAGGGAGGCTCCCATCAAAGAGGTGACATCCAGAAGGGGAAATAAGCCATGATCATAACTAAAAATAATGTGGAAAATGTCTTACATGTAGTAAACACTCAGCAAATGCATGCTGAATTGAATTAATATCAGAAGACATACATAAAAAAGTACTCGGGTAGCTCAGTGGAAGGAAAAGAGAAGAGGAAAAGTTTCCTAGGAAGCTGTTTCTCTGAGGCATGTACCACAGGAGTTTGCTGGCACTCTCACTTGGCAAGAGTGTAATTAGCAAAAGACCACAGGTCCTTGTCTTGTCTCAAGCCCGGAGTCTCCTCCAGCCCTGGACATGTGCACAGTCAGCTATTTCAAGTAAATTCTGCAACAGTTCATGCAGAAAAGAGTTTTAAGATGATCCACGTATGTAATCATTTTTGTGAGAATTTAAAAATAAAATTGCCAGTGGATTTAGACCCTAAGCTTTAGCATAAGAAACAATCATAAAAATAAACTAATGTGCAGAGGCTTTATAGCAGGTGGGGTCTTTTCATAGATTCTTTTCTTCAAAAGGAAGAGAGATAGCTCAGTATGTAAAACATTTAGACGGAACTTTTCTGGAGAGATAGAAAGGGATGGCAAGAGAGTGAGAGAGCAGGAGAGTGAGAGTGAGTAAGCAGCAAGCATGATCTAGGCTGATCCTGTTACTTTATAAATGAAAGAGCTACACCTCAGAGAGAGCAAACGACGTGACTGAGAGCACACAGCCAGGGGAGAATCATCTGATATATAATATTCCTTCTTCCTTCTCTCAGTGCTTCACTGAAATAACAAGACCGTAGTTGCTCTTAGTGATTTGAACTGACATTTCCTTGGCCATGATAAAATAATGAACATTTTCCCCTTAAAATTGTTGGGTATCACCTCCTAACATAATTTTGTTTTTTACGGTGGTTGAAAAGCTGTAATTCTCATTCATATTCCTATTAGGTTTAATCTAACTTATTCCAAAAGTACTGGTAGAAATAACATTTAGTCCTAAATTAGAAGTGACAGAAATGCTGAATCTCTCATTCTTATTATAGTTTTAACTCTGGTTAATTGGGGTGTTGTAGCCATATGTGAGCTTCTCTCTCCAAAGTAGAAAGACTAGGTCAGACTATCAGCTAGGACAGTGCCAGGAGACTTCAGAGGAAATAGATTAAAAAGGAGAAAACTTTTAGGGTAGAGTCTATAAATTTGGCATCAGATTGGACAAAAGTATGAGAAACAAACAAGAATCAAATTGCGATGTCATTAAGGGAAAATGGAAAGCTTGGAGGAAGAGCAAGCTTAGTTGGGAAGACAGTGGAGTTTGTGGTACTGGCGACTCATGCAAGGGAAATGTTGATCATCTCTGAGAATGAACGTAGACTGGAGTCCAGGAAGGAGATGAGAGTGGCAGAGTTAGCAGCAGAGGTTAGGTTTTACTGCAGTCTGGTACTAACTACGTGGAATGCTGGGAGATTTACCAGAAAATAAGTTTACAAGGGAGCATTGTGAAAGAAGGGCAATATAACTAGGGGAGCGGGAAGGGGTTGGAGCTTTGGATGGGTAGAGCACAACTGAAAAACAGTGTCTGCTGTTGACCTGAGCATCTGGGAAAATCTGTCTGAAGTGAGGGAGGGAAAGGTGAAACAGGCCCAATCCTTCCAGAGATGCCAGAAAACTGCCGTAGCCAGACGGTCGAACTAAAGAATGGGGATTCTCATGGGTGCTGATGCACTGAGAGGAGGGGACAGAAAACATGGGTTCCTGACGGACCCAGGCAGCAGGAGAACTGGGAAGAGTCATCCTGAAGGGGATCAGGGAGAGTGCTCATAGAGGGAGCAGGAAATGCAAGAGTCCAGTGGCCCGAGCTGACCCTAGTTTTCTGCAGCAGAGGAGAGCAGGGAAAAGGGAGAGCTGGATTACTTCTGGCCTTGAATCTGGGTCCACTTCCAATAAAGCAGCCTTCGAGATGTTCAGAAGCCAGTTCACATGTTCACAGTCCAGGTTCTGATTTAGCACTTGGGAGACCCCTTAGCTTTTAATATTGCTTTAAAGCATCAGCTTTTAGTTTTCATATTTTGTAAGAACCAATGAGAGTTAGTGGGAAACACAAAGACCGAGCTGATTTCCCAGAAGCAGACTGGTGAATGAGCTCACTGAGTTAAATGCACATTAGGACTCCACCCGTTGTTCTAGTCCCAGGAATGTTTTGCATCTAAACCAGGGCTTTGGTGAACCTCAAGAGCCCTATTTAAAAGACCACAAGTAGGGACTGCCTGGGAATGGCTTCAAAAT